ATACGTGCTCAGAAGCCAGAAATCCATGCTCATAACTTTCGATCGTATAACATAAACAACACGTCGGAATACTTTCAAATTTTCTATTTTATGCAATTAATATTGAGGAATTCGGGATTTAAAATAAAGACTCAACTACGCCTCTTTTTACTCTGTTATTTATTTTTAGATAAAATGTTAAAGCGTTTCAATTTTCTCTTTTATGCAATAAAAAACTTGATGATTCACTTCTACGCCACTTCGAACTCCATTAATTTGTTATAGATGTATTGTTTACTTTCACGTTTTGGTCCCGCTTGTCGTCCAAGGGATTACAACAATATGGATAAATTAAAGCTTTTGTAATGGATTGGGAATCTGATAGAAAGGTTTGCATCATCTACGTATACAGAAATGTATTTTGTTTTGTCCGATGTTTCAACATCATTAATTTCTTTGTTCGTTCTTATTTTGTTTGCAGGAAATTGTGCTACGATTAGAAATAATAAATAAGCAGAAAACGGGACATCCTTCCCTCAGGCTGTTGAAATCGTTGTGTAATGTGAAAATTGTTCTAATCCAATTACATGTTAGTAAACGTTCTGTTTAATCTAAAGTTAGCTTTTTTTCTGAAACAGGTGACAAAAACAGAGGGAGGAAAAAAAGAAATGTGTATTTAGCCTGTCTTCGTCCCGAAGCCCGTTAGTCATTTGTATTTACTTTTACAATTTATTCTTCATTAAGGCCAAAAATAAATTAAATAAATAAAAAAAATAGTCGGTCTCTGGTCAACGCGTGCGTCGATTTTGATCATGCGCGTCAATCTTTTTTTCCCAAAATGTTCCGCGGTAGCTCCAACAGCGCCCTCTATTGCCGCACCTCCTCATTTTGTTTTACCAAAGAGCACCAAGAAATGGTAAATTGCACCAAGGCAAATGATCGAGGGCACCAAGGCAAATTATGGAGGACACCAATGTACATGAGGACACCAAAAAAGCAAAATAGTACCCCACCTTGTCTGTACAATCCAAGCTTGAAAAAAAGAAGAAGACAAAAAAGAAGAAAAAAAGGCCGCGTCGCCGCATCAATTCCGGAACTTTGGTCTGACAAGAGACCGAGTATTTTTTTGCACCTAAACAGGTCACAAACATCCACAATCCATACATGTCGTAGATTCAAACGTGAAAACGTGGGTACAGACTGAGTGTTTAGAAATGTGTCTAAACTCCAAACGTTTCATAAAGTTTATCTATCGATCTTTGCCTGCACAATTTCATATTAATTTGGGTTTTTTTATTAGGACTTAGTGCATGTATTACATTCTTTTGATAGTTCCAATCTTTTTTTTTTCTCAGTGCAAAATACAAAAACACTCTACTATGGGATTTCCATTGGAATGGGGTGTTATCTCTGGATTTTATTAACAGATTTTCATAGGAATTGGAGTAGCAGTAGACAAGACTGTATTTACAGTGCTATACAAATTGAAAAACCAAATCTATTATTCATATCTGAGGCAGGTTTGATAACTTGGCAACCGATAAAAATAGAACACATCCAACAACGAGGCTGACCCAATGCTCACCCGACATTTTACGAATTTGTTTGTGCTTGATTTGCTTTTTTCCGCAGGAAAGGTCATAACAATTATTATGAGCGTGACTTTACGCTCTACCTAAATACTACAAAACAAGGGACTGACCCGAACAAATTCCTGCTCAATTTCGCAAGGGTTATATGCGAACGTGTATACATGTACTTCATATTTGAATGACAAAAACTTGGATAAACGCTCACACTGCACAATCACCCACGACTTTACATGTACGTGATGGGCCTATTCTCGTCTGCGTTGTTAAGTGATTGTCAGTGCACGTTCTATACGCAGTTGTACATCTCGTGTTGCGGACAGATTTACTGGGATTTTCTCGAGCGATTGAGCAGAAAATCGAAAGGTAACTTGCAACTGTCCATTTCATAAATTTAAATGTAAGACACTATCGGGAATGTGTCCATTGTTCATCTGATTACTAAAACGTTTTGTTGGCATTTATAGTTTTGCCCAGAGAGAAAGTTCTCGAAGAAAACTGTGAAAAGACAGTGTTGTTGCACTTTTTATCCTGGGACATGCTTTCTGATTTTCAGAAAGCACCAAAACGAATCAGTTTCCATTTCACATTGGTTGTTGAATGAAAGTCTTCCCCTATGCATGCAATACTTTGCTGTTGTAATAAACAAACTTGTTGCAGAGTCGAAATAGGGGCTGGTTTATACTGAACTGCACACTGTAAGTTAATTAAAACAATGTTTTGTTATGATTAATAACATTTAATCAATTGAATCCTACATTTCTATATTAGAAGATAAAAAGCCATGCTCATAATTTTTGATGGTGTAACATAAACAATACGTCGGAATAGTTTCACATTTTCACTAATTCAGGCCTGACAGTGCCCCCCCCCCTCAATATAGTTTTTTTTATAGCTTTTTGATTTTCACCAAAATATAGGCATTTATAGGTTTTGTGGATGCAAAGCCGTGCAGTTTTTCAGCATGGGGTAGCAGAAATCTAAAAAAAGCTATCAATTTCATGCCAATTCCTGAAACACTGGTTAAAAATCTTAGAGAGTTAGGCCTATATTGTTGACGTGGTTTTTTTTTTGGAATTATGATGCGTTAACAGAATATATACATGTTATAATATAATATACTTCAAAAGATCAGACAGGACCTGCCCGAATTTGTTTGTGCTTGATTTTGCATTTTTCCCAGGGAAACCTAGGTCATATCAATTCCATACATGACGTGGCTTTATGCTCTACCTAAATACTACAAAACAACTGAACCCGAAAAGTTCCTGCTCAGTTTTCGTAATTTCCCCAGGGTTACATATTTGAATGACAAAAACGTGGATTTGACAGGAATATTGTGCAAGTCATACTGCACAATCACATGACTAAACGTAGGTCTACGTGCACTATTCTCGTTATGAGGCGATTGGTAGTACAAAGTCTATACGCAGATATACATGTACATCTCGTGTTGTGAACAGACTGACTGGGATTTTCTCGAGCGATTAAAATCGAAAGCATATACTCTCCGTTTCATGAATGCAAATGTAAGACACTGTCAGGAATGTGCCAAATTCTTAAACTTTTGTAAAAAATCTTAGAGAAGTAGGCCTATTATTGTTGACGTGGTTATTTTTGGAATGACGATAACTACATTATTGTGCGTCAAATAATTGATTCCTTAAATTTTTGCTTAAAAAAGTGTTGAAATGCCAGAATGAAAATATTTATAGGTGTTAAGGTTACTTTAAAAGTCAAATAGGCTCCCAAGTTGAAATAGCTTTTATTTGTGAAAGGTTTGGCTTGAGGCCTGCCGTTGTGTTCAGCAATATCAAACCATGATTAACTATTTGCAATAAAAAAAAGGGACAATACCCACTTTGTATCATTTATTTCAGCCATCTACACGTTTTTTTTTTTTTTACTTTTAATCCTTTTGACAACCAAAGAATTAAAAGGGACGCCCTTATGTAAACTTCCTTACAGTGGTGATCCTGTAATGAAACTGTTAATGAATTTAATGATGTAAACGATTGACTTACTGGCTATTAAATACAAGAAAAGGTCAAATTCAGTTGGTTTATTGTAGAGTTAGATCATCTTTTGGTCTTGCAGTGCCTGTGTGGGGGCGGGGGGGGGGGGGGCGGCGCTACAGCCTTGCATAAGGGGAGCACAACAGCCAAACTCAGCAAAACGGTTATTAAAATATTTTTCATGCTTTACTTGCGCCTTTATTGTATTTATTACAAAAACAGTTTATACTTTTGTTTTCCATTGTGTGGACGTCTGTATTTGCGAGAGGTCGAGTATTTGAGCTGATAAGTTCAATTCCTGCTCAAATTTCTGCACTGAAGAGTAACAAAAAACGGCATAAACGGGTCCCATTTTCCCTTCAAACAACACGAAGTTAAATGTGGTCAAATGTTAGAGTACGTACAAAAGCAGGAAATGTTTGTTTTTGAAGTCTGAGGATTTTAAGATTGTGAAATTTATAATGACTTGTGCAGGCATGCAGCAAAAAAAATCCTAGTAGTTCACAGAAAAAGTGATAGCCTGAAGTTCAACACTAGACTGCAACTTCAGGGCTACCTTTCAAACAAAGCCAGGCCCAACAAAATGAGTTGTTTGTACTCTTTTAAATTACCCAAATTTATGACCACATCCTCTAATATGAAAAAATTATGCTTAGAGTTAAATCACCTTTTTACCCAATTTTTTTTCACGTGTTTACTCCATGACATTTTGCGATTCTTTTAGTACAGTATTAAAGACTGCTAATGCCACCACTAACAACTTATAAATACAAGTATAAGTGTTTATTTTGAAGTTAGTTTTTCTGAACCAAGTGATAAAGAAAGAGTGAGGAAAAAAATGTGTATTAAGCCTGTCTTCGACCCGAACCCCATTTAGTCATTTGTATTTACTTTAACAATTGAAGGCTTTTGTCCTGCAATGTGGGGGGGGGGGGGGGGGCGAGTGGCGCTGTTCAAAACCGACAATTAGGCACACTAACGGACAATATATGGTGCTTTTAACGGCGATACATGCGCGAAATTAACAAAAAAGGCACCCGCAACGGCCGATGGCACCAATAAGGCCACAACTTACTTTTAAAAAGGGCACTTGTTCAGAAAAAAAAGAGCACTTGTAAAAAAAGGGCAATCTTTGCAAAATATTGGGGGGGGGGGGTAAGCGCTGGTGAAAAAAAGGGCATTTGAATAGAAAAGGGCAGTCTATACAAAATATTGGGGGGGGGGGGGGGAAATACCCCCCCCCCCCCCGCTGGCTACGCCTATGAAACATGTTACAAACATCCGTAATCCACACTATGTAGTGGATTCAAACGTGAAAAAAGTGGGTACAGATAAGTGTTTAGAAATGTGTCGAAACTCTAAACATCGCATAAAGTTTATCTATTCATCTAATTTCACTGCACATTTTCATATTCATTTTTGTTTTAGCAGGACTAAGTATATGTATACGTTCTTTTGATAATTACAATCTTTGTTTTTCCCCAGTATGACTAATCTGAAGAAGATTCATCTTTTCTGGCTGGTAGTCTCCATGGTAATTGCATTTCCTGAAATGCTGGTTTCAGCTGTGGATCTGCAGATAGGCACACCTGCTCGGCCGCAATGCTTCGGGATATCAAGAGGTCAGCATTTTGTCCTTGGCTTTTCTGACAACCATGATTCGCGTTCCGAAACAAGGGAGCTCACTATTTTAGTGGTAGCTTTCAGTAATCGACAAACATCAGTCACGATCAGCAGCAAGTATGAAGTAGCTGGCAGGCCATTCCTGGAGAGCTTTGTGATCGAAGCAGGTGGGTTTAGAAGAACCGTACTTCCTGCCGACCTGGTGATGGAAGGAACCGAGAGAAGCCTGAAGGGGATCGAGATTTCAGCATCTTCCGAGGTGTCTGCGTACGGTTTGATGTATCAGGATTTCACCACTGATGGTTTTCTAGGTATACCAACAAATAATCTTGGTACGCAATACGTTCTGGTAACGGGGCCCCCCCTATCTCCGTGGCGCTCCCAATTTTCTGTCATAGGCACGGAGGATTCCACCTTAGTGCAAGTTACTTTACGAGGTCGGGTTACATTTGAAGGAGAGGATTACGATGCTGGTGATGTGTTCAGTTTCATGGTTGACCAGCTGGAAGCTGTCCAAATCCAAGGAGCGCCTGGACAAGACCTAACAGGAAGCATCGTCCAGACTAACAAACCGGTTGCCGTTTTCAGCGGCAATGAATGTGCGATGAATCCGGAATCGACTTGTGACACATTAACTGAGCAGTTGGTACCCATCAAGAGTTGGGGGAAGAAACACATCTACACCTCAGCCCGAAGCACCGACAGGAACAACTACCGAATCGTTGCCTATTTCACCGAGACAATTGTCACTATTCCGGGATTTGGGAATCAGTCGTTGGATACGGGTGAGTTTTGGGAAGGCGATTTGTATGGTTCAGGGTTCGTGTCCTCCACTGAACCAACTCTCATGATGCAGCAGCTCTTTTATATTAATGGTGAACGACTTGACCCGTCACTCATACAGGTACCTGCTGTGGAACATTTTGGGTTTATCTTTGGGTTTACTACACCACCTTATTCTGGAGAGAGTTCAGAAGGTTTTTTCAACTTCATCGGTATCATTGTGAAAACCAATGCACGCCAGACTGTATTTGTAAATGGATCTCCCATAAACGGCACCAATGTCATTGACAGTAATGTACCTAACACTGACTATACATCGCTGACTGTCCAGTTGCCGAAAGGAGAAGGGATCTACTTCGTCGAGCAAACTGATTCTCAAAATCCTCTTTCTGTCATTGTCTATGGGTATGAAAGGGCCGAATCATATGGATATGCCGCTGGTTTGTCTCTTTCAAGCAACGAACAATTGCTCAGTTTGAAACCGTACTATTTGCGAGAATTTGGTGGCGAGCTTTTTACGATGACAGTTCCCTGTTTGCAAACAAATGCTTTATCTTTTCCAGATGCAAAGTGCAAATTTTCCACTGGCTTTGGAGACGTCATTGTTTCTGGTGAACGCACTAACCCATACACTGTTGTCTGTATCACTCCCACCTTTGACAAGAACGGACTTACATCTGTCTTTGTATCACTTGACAACGGTGAATCATTTCCATACTCTGGCATTGTCTACGTTGCATCTGAAGAGGATCTACCGCCACTAGTTCAAATCCAACAGGTGAATTCTGAGTATGGAGATGGCATCATTGACCAAACCTCAGATGATCCGATCATGTTCTCCTGGGATCCTAGAACGGTTGGTGAAGGAGTTTCACATGTGACTGTTATGATGCAAGACACAGATTACGACAGCAATGGGAATCCAGTCTTGATGGAAGGTGTCGCAGTGAAGAGCAATGTCTTGAACAACGGTAGTCTGACGATACATCCAAGAGACCTCCAATCCCTCACCAGTGATGGTTTGTCACTCAAAGCATTTTATCTTACTCCGTCTGGATTGAGGAGACGAAGAAATATTGGAGGTTTGTTGTGGTACTTACGACATTATGGTCCTGCCTCAATTGTAGTTACTGCAATCACCTGTGAAGTTTCAAAGTACCAGTTAAAGAAGACTGTGCCGACAGGACTGCCTCCATGTCCTTGCAACACAGGACAAGCTGACCGAGACCAGAACGTCCAGAAGGCAGATTTTGCAAACTCCTTCTTCCATCCGGGTGCCAAGAGCTGTTATCGGTCTGTTAATTCATTGCCAAATGGAGCAGGGCAACAGTGTTGCTACGGTAATGACGGCAACATCCTGGTAGGTCCACCCGGGGGAGGAACAGCCGACAGGTATGGTCCTGGTGGGTTCTGGAATACAATCTGGCACCAGTGGTACGACGTCCTTCCTTGGCTTTGCTTATGCAAACTGTCCAACAACTGCAAGGAATACTACAAGTACAGGCCATCAGATGACTGTTCTGACTACGACCCACCTCGACCGGCTGGGGGCACCGGGGATCCCCATCTTACAAGTCTGGATGGCTACAAGTTCACCTTCAACGGAGCCGGAGAATTTCTGATGGCGTCATCTGCTGTACATAACTTGACCTTTCAAGCCCGTATGGAGAGGTACCGCAACACCAAAGCCTCTGTGTACACAGCATTCGTTCTTCAAACCAACGATTCCTCCAAAGTCCAGGTGCAGTTGTCTTACATGAACGAGACACTGATTCTTGTGGATGGTGAGCCGTTGCGTCTTGACTCCATCCCAGTAAAAGTTCATCACCTCAGAGGTGTTCGAATCAGCTTCAACTCTGACATGACCAAAGTCAACATAGCATTCAGTGCTGGCATCGCTGTCACCGTGTACATCGATACCGAGGTGATGTCTTTCATCGCTCAACTGGACACCAAGTTCCAGGATCAAGTTCAAGGACTTCTTGGAAACCTCAACGAAAATCCAGATGACGACCTTCAGTTCCCAAACGGAACCATTCTGGAGCCTGGTTCTTCGCTGGAAGAGCTTCAGGGTTTTGGTTTGGAGTGGTTGGTGGCCCCAGAGGAGTCCATATTTACCTACATCTCCCCATTTGACTACAGCACATACCACTTCCCTGAGTTTTCCCCGACCTTCGAGGTTCCTGATCTGAACCAAGTGAGTCAGGAAATCAAGGACCTGTGTGGCGATTCCACTGAGTGTGTCTTTGATGCGGTAATCACCGGCAGCCTGTCTTTTGCTAACGAGACTCTTGTGGCGACAGTCACAATAAGTGAAGTCCAAAAAGGATTGGTCAAGATTGTCAGCTGTGGCTACCCGGGTGATGTGGAGAACGGATTGCTGTCTGGGTCTGTGTATCTCGTGAATGCCACAGTGGATGTGGCTTGTGATGATGGCTTCACATTGAAAGGGTCTTCCAAATTGACCTGTCTTGAAGATGGTCAGTGGTCGTCTGACCTCCCTGTGTGTGCTGTCGACTGTGGCTACCCGGGTGATGTGGAGAACGGGTTGCTGTCAGGGTCTGTGTATCTCGTGAATGCCACAGTGGATGTGGCTTGCGATGATGGCTTCACATTGAAAGGGTCTTCCAAATTGACCTGTCTTGAAGATGGTCAGTGGTCGTCTGACCTCCCTGTTTGTGCTGTCGACTGTGGCTACCCGGGTGATGTGGAGAACGGGTTGCTGTCAGGGTCTGTGTATCTCGTGAATGCCACAGTGGATGTGGCTTGTGATGATGGCTTCACATTGAAAGGGTCTTCCAAATTGGCCTGTCTTGAAGATGGTCAGTGGTCGTCTGACCTCCCTGTTTGTGCTGTCGACTGTGGCTACCCGGGTGATGTGGAGAACGGATTGCTGTCAGGGTCTGTGTATCTCGTGAATGCCACAGTGGATGTGGCTTGTGATGATGGCTTCACCTTAAAAGGGTCTTCCAGATTGACCTGTCTTGAAAATGGTCAGTGGTCGTCTGGTCTCCCTGTTTGTGCTGGCATGGATAATGGCGAGGAGGGAGGGCTAGCTGCAGGCATCATAGCTGCTATTGTTGTTGGTGCCGTGATTGTTGTACTCGCAATCTGTGGTCTGATTTACATTTTCATAAAGCGGCAAGTCAGGTGTGTTAACAAACACAAATGCCCCGAAACCGTGACTGTTCCCATGACATAACACCACTCACATCAACATCAACATCAACTTACATGTACATGTACTTGGGTCACATGGAACATTCATTGACATCATTAGTGTTTTCTGTAGGTTTTATTTGAATTAATCCCTATGATCTCAGAATAAATACAATATTTCTAGTTTTAGCCACTGTGACCTTGACCCTCGACTTTTCGGCCCCAAATGCAATAGGCTTCTTAGGATTACCAAGAACAATCCACAAACCAAATTTGAAGTTCACATGTAAAGTATATCTCAAGTTATCGCGCTGACAAAATTTCTTTTGTTTTAGCCTCTGTGACCTTGATTGACCCTTGACTTTTCGGCCCCAAATGCAATAGGCTTCTCAGGATTACCAAGAACAATCCACAAACCAAATTTGAAGATCATATGTTAAGTATTTCTCAAGTTATCGAGCTGACAAGATTTGTCTGGACACACACACCCACCCACCCACACACACACGCTTACATAGGCATAGAAGTGGGGTACTTCCTTTGTTCTCGTGTACTAAAATTTTGCAACGTCGCACAATTATGTCAAAATGCTCTTATTTTAACCACAGTTAATTTCCTGGGCTAAAATTCGGACTTAATATCCCTTTTCTAAAACTCTTCCATTTGCGACGGATCAACCCACCTTGGAAATTCCTCGTTTTTGAGTAAAATCCATATATCTATTTCGTGAAAAACTTGTGGGGTACCAAAACGGTACCCCGCAAGTCGGTAGGCATTCCTTGTGGGGTACCTCCCACACCCACACACCCACCCACGGAAGGACAAGGCGGAAACAGTATGCCCCTTCGGCTTCCATGCGGGGCATAAAAATAAATTTTAACAACTTAGTAAGTCTCTGTTATCTTTAAACAGAATACCATCCTCAACGCACACTTTTCTTTTGTTAAATATCATTGTGGAGTAACCCGGGAACACAGGTATCACATAGAACATACACGAAATATTTTTTTACGACGGAGTTTGTGACGATGGACAAAATTATTACCTCTAATTGATGTTCTAGTTGGTTCTTGTTGCATGTAGGCCGTGTTGATGCATCAAGAGTATATGTTTGGCGCGATCAGTGGATCAGTGCGCGATCGGTTGATGCATGTCGGTCGATCGTGCCACCAACGGTCGATCGCGCCGCCATCAGTCAGTCACGTGTTCTTTTTAATCCACGGCTCTTAAGGATTTTTTCGAAAAAGGGAAGTAAAGTCTGAGATTTCCTACAGGATCGACCAATCGCGCAAGTGCATTCCTGCGTGATCAATCTATTTGTCAGAGAAATTGTGTTATTTTCGGGATAGAGCTGACTCATTATTGTATTATAGCGTACAGCCAGCCATGTTGAACTTTGACCTTCATAATATATTACTGTGCCATTTGATTATTGTAATACGTATAGACTACTAGTGAAATGTAATTTAAAATCAGTAGATAGTCATCATTATATTGTTATTGTTTTGTTGGATATTTTGAAAGTTCATCCGCTTTAACTAGAGGACCGTTAAAAGGTCCGTGAGATGATTTTTCTTAGAAACACATTTTGTTCAACTCTCTTCTACTCTTAAATGTATGAAAGCTATTTCACATTAATTTTTGCAAATATTAACCATGGTTAATTTTATTGAAAAATTCACTTCGTTAAACATTTCAAATTGTCCATGCTTTTCTGGACAATTGAGGGTGCTGTTGCTGTGATGTCATTTCAGGAAGACACTGTTTAGTTTGGGGGTTTTCATAACAATTTTAAACCAAAAAAAGGAGTTCATTTGAAAACATTTTTGAGAAAAGTTTGTTCATTGGCTTCAGTGTTGCCAATTAATATTTAGATTTAGTTATTTACAATACAAACTTCACTTTTATGTCCATGCATTTACATGTACTGACAATTGAGTGCGTTGTTGCTGTGATGGCATTTCAGGAAGACACTGTTCGATTTAGGGGTTTTCATTACAATTGTGAACCCCAAAATGTGTTCATTGAAAACGTTTTTTTGAAACGTTTGCTCATTGACTTCCTGTCATGTACAGTACTGACCGTAACGAATTACCACAGAAAAGGAATTTTACAGCAAAATATCAACAATTTGGGCAAATGTTGTGCTGAAAGAGCTATAACATCGAGGTTTCTGCCTGAAATATCATTACACTTTTGCTCAATGAATATGGAAATTTGCATAAGCATCAAAACCAAAAGGGCCCAAATATCTTTAAAAATAGCAACAAAAAAAAATGAAGATAAAGTTAAATGGGACACAAAGGTGTATTTTTGAGAAGTAAATTTAAAAAAATGACATTATAATGTGGCATGTATGGTATAATCGTAAAAATGATGTTGACAGTGTCAGTCTCGGACTTTTATAATCGATATAATTTAAAAATACATCATGTGGTAGATTACGGATTAAACTGCTTAAATTAGATATAAGAATTGTGTACTGAATCACCATTTTTATTTGTTCAAATAGAGCATCTCAACCAGCAAGGAAAGATGTCTTATTGTGTTGCAAATTTACGTAAACATCAAAATTCACTGCAACAGTTGATAAATTAAATGTAAGAAACAAGTTTATCATTTCTGCTTTCGCACTGCCAAAGTGGCTATACTAAGGCAGTGTTCGAATATGAACAATTAGTACATGTATTTACCCAAAAAATGTTACATTTACAAAATAATGCAATATACCAGAAAACCTAAGTGACAAACTAAGCCGATATTAGGGGAAATGGATGAGTCCATTTAAAATACTAAATTTGAATTAATAAGCAACAATAGCGTTCTTGTTTGCAAAAGGTTGAAATAGTTTTGTTTGGCAAAGGCATATATAGGAACATACACACACATCGTGAAAATGGTTGATTTCACTGCAGTGTTGTAGTCGAGACCGGATAGTCCGAGACCGAGACCAAGACCGAGACCTGAAGATTCGAGACCGAGACCGAGACCGAGACCAGCCCCTTCAAGGCGGACCGAGACCAGCCCCTTCAAGGCGGACCGAGACCGAGACCAATATGGTCCGAGACCGAGACCGAGACCGCTGATAATAAATAACAATAGTCGAAATAAAAAAACAAGACACGTTATTATAGTTGAAAAATGTAACCTTTCTATTCACAAAGAATACAGACCAAAATGTTGACCAGTGGCAGCGTTGACAAATTGATACATGACACCTTACTTGAGCAAAAAGTAGTTAAATTTTAATTTTACATTGCCTCTTTTTTCCTAAAATAAATTTAGGACTTAACTTCTAACAAGACTTGTGTACTTGATTATAAAAAATGGGAGCTAGAAAATGTTGAATTAATTTTTAAATTTTTGTCATAGAATGTGGACCTGTACATGTAAACTTACAAGTTGCGAGGTGGTAGCCAGAATGTGCCAGATATGGATTTTTAATTTTTTCTGAACGGGATTTTAATTTTTGAGGAATAATGGGGTACTTCAAAATGAGCAGTCAGAAAATGGGGTCTCATCATACACTCTCATGGCAACAGTGAGTGGTAACTGGTAAGAGTGTGTGAGTTCAAAGCTGGAAAATCAGGTAGAACAATTAACTTTTTCTTCAAAATACTGTCCCAAATTAAAGAGAACATTGTGTGGGGTCGAAAATATAACTAATTTGAAGCACCTCATTTATTATCAGAATACAAAATGCAAGTGATTACGCCCACAGGGGTGGGCTAAACTACACAATCCCCGAAAATGGTTGACCCTTATTGCATAAATTGTTACAAGTTTATACTTTGCTTTATGTGGCCGACTCAACAGATAAATCCCGAACTTGTTCCAAATCGTTCAGTGACTGGTACTGCTGCAGCTTTACATGTACTTTGGGGACTTTCCAACGTGCAGTCGAGTCCAAACCGACCGCGATAAATAACAAGCTTGATCTACGGGCTAGCAAATGTTTTAAATAACAACGGTACTGAACGAAGTGAACACAAAGTAATCGATCGAGCTGTAAAAGCTACATATTGCCGGTCTCGACCCGAGACCAGCCAAAATATCGAGACCAAAGGGGACCGAGACCGAGACCAAGACCGAGACCACAACTTCCGAGACCGAGACCGAGACCGAGACCAGCAAAAAGTGGTCTCGAGACCGGTCTCGAGACCGAGACCGGTCTCGAGACCTACAACACTGGATTTCAGAGCATCCAAAAACTAAACTAAGGATCAATAAATTGTTGGAATATTTATAATCAACAAATAATTCTTCTTCGCCACTATAGTGATCAGTGAATTTTTCACAAATATTATGACCGAATTAGAAGTAAATTAACAGTTTCCATTTTTGTCAAACACAAACGACGTGACTACTAATGCAATGATTGCCATTCTAAATGGATTAACGATCTGTCTGTTTTTACAACGGCCGTAGTGTAAAATCTGAAAATCCAAAGAGCGCACAAAAATGCGATATTTCTCAGTGACAATGCGACATGAAAATACAAATAAAACACACCAATTCTGAATAAAATCAAGGGTCATTTACTCACCACTTGGGCTGATCTACGTTCATGCCATAAGTCAACGACGAAACAACGCCGGAGGCAGCGGCAATTACCAGTGATGATCGGCAATGCCAGTGGCCAAAATTGGTCGGGAACCGCAGCTAAAAATTGGAACAAATAAAGTGCACCGCTGCCAATATTGCTTCTGCTTCTGCTCCATACTGTGCAATCACCTCCATTTGGCGGTTATCACGCACTGTTGGTGTTGACGCAACGAAATGGTGGATCGAAATCAATGTTTTAATCAGGGAATTACGGGACTATGTTTGGAGTGCGTGTTATTCCGCTAACAAAGCGCGGTATGCAAAACTCGCTGGAATTTCTATTAACTTTGAAACGCAGAAGCAACCAAGTGTTAGCTTTTAGTGAAGTCTATAAATACAAGTCCGTACCCGGACGTGTGGCTGGCGCCCAGGATGCTGACACGAAACAAGACCAGTGTGAGTAGCCACTCGCACTGTTTTTTTTTTCGTGCCATCAGAATCTGGGGTGCCATGGGTCCGGGAATAGAAATACCCCATATAGAAAGCGCTCATTCATTGGTCAAAATCTAGGAGGTCAAGAGGCGGGGTCTTGCCTAGTTAATCAGCGAATCTGTTCACGCGTAACAGACCACGGCATTCGCCGTGCGCGTGTTTTCGATTGTGTGGGAGTTTAATAAAGGGGGGGGGGGGAGCGGTTGGACTTTGGCTTCGTTTGATGATAGGAGGCGCTCTTTCACCATTTGGTTATGATTTTCAGCAGAGGGACAGGGGATGAACATTATCGACGCGTAGGTAACTCCTCTTCTTGTGTAATTTAAAAAAGAAAGAATAAAAAACAATCGACGCTTCGAAATTTGACACTGGTAGAATGGAACCCCCCTTCTACCAATGTTCCCCCCCCCCCTTTGAAACGTCAACCCACCCCCACCCCCGCAGCCCTGCTACCGTTTCTCATTTGATTGTACGCCAAGGAAAATTAGGTTCGTATTATGCCAAAAATAAATTACCACTGAAAAGTGAAGAAAAAAAAGATGAAAAGTCCAGGATGTTTTGTGTTAGTTTGATCACGAAACAAGGTCATGAAAGTTTCTCCGAGATTTCTTTGACCGTTTATAGTTCCTCGGTTTATTCGGTTGTGGTTGTTTGGCTTCTTTGTGATAAAACTAAAAGTCTGAACGATGTTATTTTCCTGTTACTTACACGGGACTACACAAGGATCAAACAATCATTTCCATAACCACTAAAAAAAGTAAATCTGATTTTGGATTAGTTTCGAGATGATAATTCAATTTATTGATCAGAACAAGAATTTGTAATCCACATTTTTAAACTTAATAACAGCTGACAAAAACTGGCAACAGAAAACTGTTGCAGAAAACCGCCTGCCAGGGGTAATAATAGTGAAGCGCTTTGAGACCTTTGTTATAAAACGGCTTAATATCAGCACCCCTATTATTAACTACATTTTTACCCTGCATTTTCTTCTTTTAAATGTATGCACTGGAAGATTCCACTAGGACATTGTTATTTCTTTTTGCAAAATTCATGATTTGATATTAAAGTGAAAGTCCACAATGTACATCACTGAAATTTGACTCAATTTTGATACATGGAACTAACAAGCATCTCCTGACGGCGGGCAGAGCATACTGTTCGAAACGTTGAGTCCCCCCCCCCAGTTCTTTTCAGAACCACACAAACTCACGGAAGAGCTTTGCCACATCATAAACCTTTATCTTATTGCTACCTTGTTACCTTTAATCATGTAAACCTTCAAATCTCATCTAACAAGCAGATGACATATTTCACATCACCAAGTTTAATCGATAAGCACTTTCATCGTAATGTGCGCCATCTTGCTTACAGGGCAAAATTTCACGTCTTGCTGAGAACGCACTGTCAATCGAAAACCTTCTCGTTTCCAAATCATCATGTGTTCATAACAATACACGCTTGCATTTTAGCAACGAATGCTCCTTTTCCCCATGAACAAGATGGCGCATATTACCGTGAAAAAAAAACCAAAAAGGGAAACTTCATCCCTCTGAGTACCTTCATCTGTGTGTAAGCTTCTATTTTATCTGAACACTTTTAAAATATTTATTCTGACTAAGGGCCCTGTCACACTTCTGCGTATCCTAATTCCTACGCAGGTCATAAGTTATAAAAACGCGGCGCATCGGTCCCGCATCGGTCGAGTGCGTTACGAGTACGCTATGTGTTCGTGACGCACCCCGTCAGCATATGAGCCGCCTGTATTGGACGTATACATAGCGTACTTGCAGCGCAGATGCAACGCACGCTGAATAGCGAGGTGCAAATGCGGCGGGAATACGCTCACAAGTGCGTCAAGCATGCGGTCGGCATAAGTCGGGTGCCGGTCCGGAATACGCTCGGCATGCGCACTGCATACTGACCTATTCACAGCCCGAAAAATAATGTTGTGCACTGCATACGCAACTCATACGCATCTCATACGCAACGGATGCACTGAATTCGTTACTTGTACCCTAGATGTGCGTCGCACATAAGTCAAAGTGATCAAAACATTTCGACGTTAATTAAGCGTACGGCTACGTATTGAAAATTCTTGATAAGGAACTCATAAGGAGTTAGGATACGCAAAGGTGTGACAGGGGCTTTACCGATAGGCAAATTCAAGATTTAAGATTTTTCTCAGTAAATATTTTGGATACAATTCACACACACAAAAATCTGCACAACTGCACTTACCAGATGGCAACTTGAGCTTTGTGGTCCTTTGGCTGTGAAAACAAAGTCACAAAGTGTTAATTACCGTGAACCAGTCCCGGATTTGTTCGGTTCTTGTGCTGGTACTTCCTTTTAAATACATGAAGTACACGATAAGGCGGAGGGGGGACATTTGATAGGCGCATTACTTTACTTGCAGAATACACTGCTGACACTCAATGAGTTACAGGTATGGAATTGGGGCAATCGTGTAGTTACAGGCCCGGTTCCTAAACTAGTTAGCGACATTAAGAACATGCAGGTATGTCATAGAGGGTAGGCTTTTCAATTTTTAAGGGAAATTTGGGGGTAAAATGACGTCGACGACAAAACGCAAATACAGATGGTGATCAAAGCGATGTACCACCTGTGTACCGTGAACGCGAAATACCATGCCAAATCGCAAGGCACAAACCATAAACCCTGTAAGAAAATCTTAATTTCTATCCCAAAAAACATTTCAAAATTACAAAAAAGGTGTCATTAGAATTAAGAGAAATTTGCTTAAGGTTGAAAAGTTCATTTTTTTGAGCGATAAAAAACACCCTCGACTCTAATTTCATCGAAACTAAAGGAGCCCTACACTACACGATCGCTGGAATTAGCTACATAAGTTAAGGTTTAGGCCTAACTTAGCCCACCCCCCCCCCCCCCCCCCCCCCAATGGCAATAATGAAAGGTTTTGCATGATCACAGATCAGTACAATGTTTACATTCATGGAGCTATACAATGCTCAATGGTAATGCATTCTGGCGAAGTGAGGCTGAAACAATGTTTTTGTACTTGTAGACGTAGCACAGTTGCCACGCAGCAAATTCGCCTAGGCAGGCTACAGTCCAGAAGATTAGAGAGTGCTTGCTGCATGCTGAGCTGTGCGCGCAGCGGCGGAGGCGCACAACAAGCTTCACTTCAGAACTTCAGTCGTCAGGCTTTACCAAAACCAAGTATTGGAGGCTTACCTGAGGTATTTTTGGCACAACTCCGGGCATGGTGGATTCCTTTTCCATTCAAAGTTCTTTTCTTCTGAAAAAAAAAAGGTAATTAGAGGACAAATTCCATGGTAAAAGCTGCGGAACAAGTTACGAATCACAGATAGTTTGCTGTCACCATGGAAAATTACTGTGTAACTCTTGAGGGCGCTATACAAGTAGACCGCTCGCTGGCGCGCGCGCGCTCTGAACCAATTCAAGCCCCATTGAAAATAGTAAAAATCAACAAAGTTCAGGGCCAAATTTACATGCAAGCCGACATCACTGGGGTTTCTCAAACAACAATGAAATTATTGTCTGGTCCTTCATCTTTCCATTTCTTTTCAATTTTTGGTGGGTTAGCCAATTACATTGTTAAATATCCACACCAAAACAAACTCACCTCCCGACTCAAGCCAGTTCCCAAGCGCGCACGCCTACATGCATGCAGTCATTTAACAAATTTATGGCATCCCTCCACTTTCTCAGGCAAAAGGACCCATTTTTCAACCAAAATTGTATCAACTGCCCCCAGATAGAAGCCCAAAAACCAGGGAGTTGATCCCCGGTTATATTTACACAATCCCACCTTTTGTAAAGTCAAATCGGTCTCATTCTTCAACAAAAAAAAGGTGTGGGGCACTTTTGCTAATGAGCTCGCAAACAAAATAGCATGGTAGCCCCCCCCCCCCAATATTCGGTCTCTGGTCAGACCAACGTTCCGGAATTGACGCGGGGACGCGGCTTTCTTTTTTTTATCTTCTTCAAGCTTGGATTGTACAGACAAGGTGGGGTACTAATTTTGTTTTTTTGGTGTCCTCATGTACATTGGTGTCCTCCATAATTTTCCTTGATGCTCTCGATCATTTGCCTTGGTGCAATTTCCCATTCCTAATTTGTGCTCTTTGGTAAAAATCAAATTAGGAGGTGCGGCAATAGATGGCGCTGTTTGAGCTACCGCGGAACATTTTGGAAAAAAGAGATTGACGGGCATGATTGAATCGACGCGCGCGCTAACCAGAGACCGACTTATTATTATTTTTGTTGGGCCTTAGGCCAAAAAAAGTCTCCGGTTTCTGGTATGTGCGCGCGTCGCCACCGTAGCCATGCGCGTCGGCAAAATTTTTTTTTTTTCAATGAATTAAAGATGATGTCTCAAAACCGCCAAACTCACTGGTTTGACTGGAATCCTGCTGCTGCACAATTTTAACGTGTTTTTTTTTAGATGGGGTTATGATCGAGAATAAGCTTTATGTGGCCTCTCTGGACTCCCACATAGCTTAGTCGGGCACCATTTGCAGTCATCAGCCGACATTTGAATCAAAAAAAAAAAAAAAAGTATAAAAAAAAAGCTGCGCCGCCGCACCACTTTTTTGGCAAGCTCCATACCAGAAACCGGAGACTTTTTTGGCTTTAACCTTGGATGTCAAAGACCTCTTATACCGCGCTCACCCTCTAAACTATAGTTCTTGTTGCCAGCACTACGCCTGCGTGTTTATAGGGTGTAAGCAGAAGCAGAGGCCTGAAGAACATAGCTGGAAAATGCATGCACAGGATATGTGCGGGTGAAACCATACAGAACGGAAATTTAACTTTTGTTTTTCCAACTTTTACAGAAGCCAAGTGATCAGTTGAAATTTTAACGTTAAAAGAAATGCAACAGTGAATGGGTTTTCCATTTACAAGTCAAGTACAACAGAATGTCTAACATACTTTTCTTTTGAGGGGCCGCTGCGTGTGATTTTCGAAAGCTCCGAATCGATGTGTAGGCCTATCACAGTTGCTTCGTTTCCATGCATGGAAAGGGAATTACTGAAATGTACCCAAAACACAAAGTCTCTATGAATTATAAGAGCGTACATTTAGTTCTATTATCGTTGTGGGCCTATTTGTTCACACAATCACTATTTATAATGACAAAAAAAAACACGTGTAGGCCTATGGAATTAGTGATGGAGTAAGCTACGATTGAGGAAGTTGAACGTTGAACAAAATATGACTTTGCTGGTAAGCGTGGCTGCGTGTTTATTATTCCACTGGTATTATTTCGATTTGGAAAATCCCAGAGTCGGTCTTAATAGTTTGTTCATTGATGCATGAATGGGATATTCAGCACTAGAACCTGGCCGATGAGTGTTGTGTTAATGCAAGGCGGATTACAAGTCATTTGGGGCAATATCGAACGTATGACTGTGAAGCACAGCGTGGTTCTTTCCATTTTGATTGGGATTATCTTCATCTGTCACTGGGAGATGTAACCATGATGGCCAGGGATCATCTTGGCACATTCCTGGTCGTCTTCGTTGCCTTCAGCCTCAAGGAAGGTGGGGTAAATTAGTCAGTTTGAGTTGAGACAAGTAGGCATAGGGCCTACCAGGAAGTTGGCGGTTTCGTGCTCAATCCATGTAGGCCTACATATAAACCTAAGTACATGTTGACCTTCATGAATTACGTGCACTGTAAAGATTACACATTAAAGCTCCATTGTTATATGCATTTTGTTATAGGCATAATTATGTTACTGGGAATACTATACCCTCGTAAAGGCCTTAGGCTTTGGCTGCAAGGAACGATGACTATAGTGAAGACCACGTACAACTAAGACTAATAGTATAAGAAACCATTATGTCTTTTCTTTTCCTTGGAAAGTCAGGTATGAAGTTTACCACCTGTTTTGGTTATATATGTATATTGGCCCACTTTTTAAATGTTGTGATTATTAATCTTAACACTGCAGGACTTTCTCTTGATCTGCGTGGCCCCGGAATTACAACGAGTCAGAGTTCTACGGCACCAGATGCCGAAGCCTCGAAGGCTGTGGATCGAGACATTGGAACCTTGGCTCACACGGGTATAGTGTAATCGTCTCTCGAAAGGAACCATCCTATCCTATCAGCAGATTTACAGCAGTAACCTCAAAGAAAGAGAAAATACATGGGACTCACAGTATCTTTTAAAATATTGCGCTTTCAATAACTCATTAAAAGTATAACGATTTGGTTAAAAAATTTCAATGTCCAAGTGGGATTAAGTTCAAATTTTATTCCATTTTGAAACGTCATCAGCCTAATTTGCTTAACTAAACATTGCAGCGTGTTACGTTCATGGAGAACTACTGGGTAACCAGGGCAATAAATTCCATTCATTTGCACTTATACAGAATAGAGAAAGAACTTGCGGATCCATGATGGACAGTTTACTGCTTGAAGAAAATCATTATACTGGTAAATTGAATAGGCCTAGGCCTATACACAGAAATAAAAGTAACTCATCTTATATCAAAATAATTCCATTTCTTCAATCACACAGCTACACTGCTGAACACAATCATAAAAGAACTACTAAGGCCAAAAAAAAAGTCTCCGGTTTCTGGTATGGAGCTTGCCCAAAAAGTGGTGCGGCGACGCGGCTTTTTTTTTTTTTTTTACCTGATTTTTTTGCTTCAAGTGTCGGCTGATGACTGCAAATGGTGCCCGACTAAACTTAGTGCAAATATATGGAAGTCCCGAGAGGCCACATAAAGCTTATTCTTGACCATAACCCAATCTAAAAACACGTATCAATTGTGCAGCAGCAGGATTCCAGTCAAACCAGTGAGTTTGGCGGTTTTGAGACATCATCTTTCATTGAAAAAAAAACTTTTTCATTTTGCCGACGCGCATGGCTACGGCGACGCGCGCGCATACCAGAAACCGGAGACTTTTTTGGGGGGCCTAATTATCACACCAGGCCTATTTCTTTTTCATTCACGCAGGGTATGCCACCCCAGAGCAATATACGAACCCATGGTGGAAAGTGGACCTGGGAGCTGTCTACTGCTTGAGAAAAATCACTCTGGTTAACAGAAACAGACTGGGCTAGTATACTCTTCATAATTGTTTTTCCTGGATGAGTGGTCATGTACCAGTAGTATCGCACATTAATTTTTCCTGGCCTATCCATAGTAGGAGCCTCATGAAAACATTTGATCAGATGACAGAGCATGCATACTCTGCATCCAGTTGTTGAAAATATAAAACACAAACAAACAAACAAACAAACAAACAAACCAAAGGAAAGGCAATATTTTATAAGCTAATAGATAGGCATTCTCTTCTAGCATTGAATTCCTATCTTTAAACTCGCCCACAAACAAATCCCAATTCCTTGTTAAGGAGTTAATTCCACCTTAAACTATAGTCTTTCTCGGCCGATTTCGCAAAGTTTTAATGCATTTGGATACAGAGTTTATTCCATTCCGCCAAGATTTCGGGAATCGTTCTGAATACTTTCATTTTCGGTACAAGCGCATCTCGTTTATGTCCAATCGGATTAATAAATACCCTTTCTTTATATGTTTAACCTTCTCTCTAAATTCCAAAGAGTGAAATTAGAGAAAAGACGTTTTAGAGTGACAATCACTCTCATGTTTGATTGAAAAAGTCTGAAAAAGAACCACTTCAGACGAAGCTCGAGTGAAAACTCGATCTTTACAAGAAGAAATTTCACTCTAAAACGTCTAGTCCCTAGTTTACGACTGTGAGAGTGATTCTTCACTCGAATGGAGTGAATTTTCACTCTTTTAAAGTTGAGAGTTGAGTGTAATGTCTTCAAACAGCCGAGTTGAGGAATCTTTTTCATTAATTAATTTTATGTAAATACCATCGGGGAACACTTCTCTTGGGTAATTTCTCATTTTTTGTTGGGGGGGGGGGGGTCCACTTCTGATTATCACATTCCCACTCCTGTAGGTTCATTTTTGATTCAAGTCAAGAAAGAGAGGTGCATCTATAGATTGGAGACGTCAGATATAATTTACGGTTCTGGGATCATTCAGAATTTTACGGGAAGACGGACATGCAGGAAGTCTTTAAAGATGCTTGAAAAAACTGTGAAATTTACCCATTAATGACAATAGATGCCCGATCAACCCTTTATTGCTGATTCAGACAAAAGTAAATGAACAATACGATACCTCTAATTTGTGTGAAGCGAAAAGAAAAGTGAATGCGCGGATGGTGAAATTGATGAATCTTTTTAGTTGTCGAATGACGGTCTGAGTGATCTTTCAATTTCAAGCTAAATGGAATGAGCCAGGCGTTAATGAAGGAAAACTTGGTGAAATTGGCCTGGAAAAGCCTATGGAAATGCATGTAGATGAAAGGAGGAACATCAAATTGAGGTCGAAATTATCAAGCAACCAATCAACAATAGTGTCTTGAGACATGTGACTTTTATTCTTTTTTTCCATTCTAAAATGCACCTATAAGACAGCTTCGAACGACTCGTACTCGTGCGGACATTACATACAGATTGATGGGAATCGAAAGTCGTATGAAGAAATAACCTCTCATTTTATTCCAGCGAGATTTATAACATGTTGAATAAGCTGTAGAATGATGGCACACTGACAACATTCTATTTTGAATGAACGATTAAACTAACTTTTGTTTGCATATGCGCAATGCGCAAAATCGTATACCCGAGCTCAGCTGAAAAAAATGGTATGCTTTCGTAATTGGATGTACAGATAAGGTTATTGGATGCCTGTTTCTCAAAATCAAATGCACATTGCACAAACAATATAAAAAAAGATTGATTTTTCGTTGAATTGGAAAGGGATCGAAGACGTTCATTCTACTTCAGTTCAGACGAAAACGACTAATTTTCAGAAGTGAATGGACACTTTGCGAAATTGGCAGTGGAAAGCTATTATGTTAAAATTGTCACAAAATGTGTTCGCCTAACTATCATTGCTGCTTCAAAATGTACAATCAAATTCCCTACAATTTGAATGATTTTGGTTTGTTGCTATTGTTGCAGGTTACCGATTGGAGGATAATGTCATTCGTGCTGGTTTGAGCTCCAATCACCTACATAACCCAGAGGTAGGACGGGTTCGAATGGATCAAGCTGTAGATGGAGCGGTTGTTGATTTCCTACCAGACCCCTACGTCACTGCACGATACGTCAGCGTGGATATCCGTGGTAGCAGTTCAAATATCGTAGTTCAGTTACTTGAAGTCATGATTGAGGAGGTTACCATGGATACGATCCAGACTGATGCACCAACAGGTGGGTAAAGATAATAATTCAAATTAGGTTTTTGCCCTTCACCGACGTTTGAAAACACTGTGTACTCAGTGTGTCACCTCCCGAGTGAAAGTTGGAAAAATCACTCGGGTGGAACTCGAACCCACGACCTCCTGCTTTCTAGTGCAGATGTCTTACCACTCGACCACCGAGCTAACGGGATCGGTTGGCTGGTTCGAATCTGATGTACATAGCAGCGGGTACCGCATTAACTATTATAAGATTGAATTTTTGCGTCGGGGTGATATAAATCAAACTAGAGGTTCGCGTTTGTTGTTACAAACGCAGAGTGGTCGGGCAGGCAATTTTTTTCATAAAAAACTGCCGAGTTAAGTTATGAATATGTTTATGCAATAACAAAGGATCACGAAATTAAATCCTTTTCATCACAATGAATTATTTTGCTTAAAAAAATGCATCTTTAAACGGTGTGATAAATTTCCGTAAACATTTTATGTACACATACGAGTTATTTCTGGGTTGATGACGTCATTATTTAAAAAAAAAACGGGAAGTGAAAACTGATTTAGTTCGGAGTGGATAAATGTTTATTGTGAAGATAATTAACGTACGGAAATATGAAAAATATAATTGTATGTATTTATAACGCCTAACTTCCGGTTTGATGACGTCACTAGTATTTGGAAGCAAAAGATTCACATTTTTATGGATATCGCTATTTGGGCTACGAAGATATACGACATGGATCAAATGATAGCATTCAATTTATAATATCATCGTTTTCAAATTCTCATAGACGTAACTTCCGGTCTGAAGACGTCATGAATTTGAAACCTTGCCAAGTTATCTGTGGTTAATCAAAGAATATCAAGGGGCGATTTGGTAAAATTGGAACCGATGGTCTTAAGATTAAAGAAAATAAACACTATTTTATGTGCCGCTAGTGGCGCCCTTTCGGATGAATGACGTCATCACACTGTTTTTTATGACTTGCATTTCTCACTAAACACTTGCATAATATATATGTCTGTGGTAAAATGTTTCCGCTTTTGAGTTATATTCAGTTTTTATTGCACTTCCGGTAACACCGGAAGTAAAGGTCAAGCGGTTTTGTGTCCGGGAACAAGAAATGTTTCTCACGGCATAGTCTACAACCTCACGTAAAAACGAACACGATACTCTATTTAGTTCAAAAGATATAACGCAAACTATTTGGTCAAAATTTGTCCTTAAATCGCTTGTAATTTGATACCTGATGACGTCATGATGACGTAACAAAATTTATAACATCTTTGTAACATGATACAAGTTCACACAAGGTTTTGTGATCATGCCGTGAACCGTTTGGAAGAAATGTTGCTTTGTTTTGATGTCAGGCTAACGTCTTCATTTTGAATTCACCTAACTTTGACCTTCCGGTAGACCCGGAAGTAAAGGTCAAGCGAGTTCACGTACGTGACAAAAAATGTTAAGCGATTAATGGTCTATCTGATTACAGAATACAAACATCATTGATTGTTTAGTTCAAGAGTTATAGGTGAAAGTAATTGGTCACTTTTTCAGATAAAATCACTAGTAATTTGACACCTGATGACGTAATCATGACGTCAGAGTAATATGCACCACTTTGGATGAGGGTCGATATATATTGAAAGTTACAAGTTCATACCATATACCGTTTAAGAGAAAACCCGCGGAGAAGTATTGTCCGGAAAAAAAAAGAAAGAAAGAAAGAAAGAAAGATTAATCGCAACAAATCCAAAGAGTGGTCGGGTTGTGCCCGACCACTCAATTAGGTTTTTGCCCTCCACCGACGTTTGAACACTGTGGTCGAATGGTAAGTGTGGTTTCAACTTTCACTCGGGAGGTAACACACTGAGTATACAGTGTTCAAACGTCGGTGAAGGGCAAAAACCTAATTTGATTTATATCACCCCGACGCAAAAATTCAATCTTATAAAAGATAATAATTATAATTCAGTTATGAATAAATGGTCATTGAACCTACATTCCTATCCAAACACAGAGGCCCCCTTCTATGGAGAAGCCACTGTGCAAGCAATCTGTCCCATAATGGATTGCCTGAACAATAGCTATAGCACAATGCTTTCGCCATTGAAGGGGGCATTTGTGAGAGTGCAGTGATATGTGCTCAGAACGGCATAGATGATGGTTTATTTGTGTGCAAAGAATCATCATCTGGAGGAATTTGAGAGGAACTTCATGATGTTGAAGTCACAAAATAAATATCTTTTACCCATCGCACAGGACAAACAAGTGGCATTATTAAAGTACTTTGTCGATAATCAAAACACAACCTTTAACTATCTTTCTTATCATCTGGCAATGTCAGTTTGATTGATTTTTGTATTATTGCCAAATATCGTGCCCAACATTACATAATTGTACGACCTATTTCATTAAAAGAGGTTTATTGCACAGCATGAATGATTTCACTGTCGTTCTTTTCTATTATTCTTGCAGCCCTGCATTTGTCTGGTCTCCCAAGCAGTCAGAGCTCCGATTATTCTAATAGTTCCGGTACTTGGTATGCTTCAGGAGCTGTTGATGGATCTTTACTGTACAGCTATGATGCCGCCCACTGTAGTCATACAGGTAAGTCTGATCACCGACCTCCATTCGATATTGCCTAATTCAAGCAGAAAATGTACCAGGCTGATTCAAGCAATTTTACCATCCAAAAACTATCGAGCTAGTCTGAAGAATAGATTTGTTTGATGCCCTCTATCATTGAAAAACTCAATCATAGTTATGAGATTTCATTGATATAGTGCACTTTCTGAACAGAGAGTGTTTTAATGTTTTGGGCACACTTCAGGTTACTACTCAGTAGTATTTTGTAGCTTTGGGTGACGTTAGGGTTAAGCTAATTAACGTTCATAGCGTCACCTCTATTTCCATAACTTTGCATTAACCTAAAAAACAACTTTTCGTAAAAAAAGATATTGTTTTTGCCATTATACTTTGTACTGATCTGTTATTTGACTTTTTTCTTTCAGATCAAGACCTGAATCCCTGGTGGAAGATAGACCTGACTTCTGATCACTGCATTGGGAAAATTGCCATCAGGAATCCATATCATCTTGAACGTAAGTTTCTCATCACTTTATAATAAATTGCAATGGTAGGAGTGGTTTGAGAGACAATCAAATCAGTTCCGCTTTGCCTGAGCTTATTTTCAGACAAAGTGTTTGTTTCAGCCAAATGAAAACTGACAAAAACATCACTGCACTCAGTAGGCCTGAAATAAGTTTCTCAAACTGCACAGTGAAGAAAAACCTCAGCAGTGATCCAGCTAAATGCAAACTTTCATATCTCTCATCAATTTCGCTCCTTGATTCCAGACGACTATAGATTACGTTTGCAAGGTGCTGTTGTGCGTGCTGGCCTGAGAGATGCACATCTTGATAACCCGACGTGTGGTTCACCAGTAACCCTGTATCAAGCGTTAATCAATGATTGGATTGAATTCACATGTGATCCCTACAGACCTGCTCGGTATGTTAGCGTCAATATTCCTAGAGAAACCTGGCTTTCACTGGCTGAAGTAATGGTATGGCCGTGTGAACTCCATCCAGCAGGTACAGTTTGGCGTAATGCAAATTGTTAAATTACAGTTTTCCAAATAAATTTTCATTTGTCATTTTAGATATTCTTTTCCTTAAAGCATTGTACTCTGGTATTAAAATGTTAAATGAAGGAAATTTTGGTGTCAGCGTGGTCTGATTAACAGGGCAAATATAACAGGAAAAATATAAGATGGAAATTTGCATCACCGATGTAATTTTATTGCTGTCTGAGAACTTACAATAAAAAAACGTTCAGTATTTTGTAAGATGGCATTTTGCTTTGGGCAGATGTAAATTTTATTATTGGGTGTTGCTCGAGAACTAGACCGACATAATTTCATGTTACGTTAAAAAAAACCTCTGATTATACTTTTAAAGTAAGTTGGATCTGTGTTTTCTATCCTAAGAATAAGTGGTTGCATCGTAGTGTGTTACATGTACATCCAACTTTCATTTTTTTCCTCCCTTGTAATTTTTCATGCAGCCCTAAACTTAACCGATAAACCCAGTAGTCAAAGCTCCACAGACGGTAGGTTCGTTGCTGATAGAGCATTGGACAGTCTTCCAATAGAACCTTATTGCAGCCTCACCAGTAAGTCATCTTAGTCCAATTACACAATGCACACTTCAGTTCATTCTCGAGGGACATTTTTCCTGCAAATACACCCGTCATATATTCATTATTAAAGAGACAAAGTACCTAAATAAAAATATTATTAAATTGCAAATACATTTTAGTTTAAAATTTTGATTTGCATAAAGCTTTAGAAAGTCAAGGTGTCAGTGTTTCATGAAAGTGCTACAGACAGAGAATTCGAAACTGAGATTGGTGGATTTCCTACAAATCATATTTCCACATACACATGTCTTTAATTAAAACCAATGGAATATATTGGTAGCTAGGAATTTTTTTTCTCGCCTAACAGGTAGTGTCCAAGGGGGGGATCCTAAAAAAAAAGGTTCAACATGTTTGCGACTGAACGGTTAAGTAAATTGTTTACGTTTAATTTCAAGTTTTCGAAATGAACCCATGGTGGATGGTGGATCTCGAGTCAAGTCAGTGTCTGGGACAAATCAGAGTTTGGAGCTCTACACAGGGTAAGATGATGATAACCTCTTTACATTAATAGGTGTATGTATTTTAAGAATCCATAGTCAATTGGATAATGAAAAAGATCAGAAAACATTTTGTTGGTTTCTTTTGTCATCAAACATGCAATTATAGTTGCTGCGATAAACAAAAGGTTATTGTGGACCTTTTAAACTGGGAAGATTTTTTTTTTTGCCAAATGTTATTTGAGTTTATTTTTGTCTGACCAATTACATTTAAATTTTGCTGCAGTCATTTAATGTAAGAATGATTATATTTATTTATTTATTTATTTTATTTCTTTCTGGTAATGAAACCAAGGATCCCTCAAAAGTGCCCTAGGCACTGTAGCCCGAAAGCCTGAAGAAACCTGTAGAGAGAAGACAATGAGAAGAAATTACAGTTTTAGAGGTGGGAGGAAAAGCCCAGAAGAATATTCTGAGGAAAACCTACGGAATCAGGTAGGGACTGAAAACCCAATCCACATATTGGCCCGGGCGGGATTCGAACCCGGGTCACAGCGGTGGAAGGCGAGGAAAGTACCGCTACGCCAACCTGACTCCCCCTATATATAAATTCCAAAGGTAAAGTCATATCAAAATGATTAGATTACAAACAATTTGATGAACAACGCCCTGAATTTATAGGATTAGAACAATTTTTAATTGTGGGTGCGTCCCAAATTTTGATCACTTCTCAACCCAGGATCTAATTTCCAGGATGCTGTTGTACGTGCTGGGCTAAGCGATAATTATACCGAGAATGTAGTGTGTGGTCGACAAGTCCAAGCTTCATCCGTCTTCGCAGAGTTTACTTGCGATCCGCCCGTACTTGCCCGCTATGTTAGCGTCGATATCCCTAGAATTGCGACGCTTGGACTATGCGAAGTGACAGTAGCTACATGTGATTTCAAGAAAGAAGGTAAATTGATATGAATGAAGAAAGCTTGCTTAGACAAAAGTAATTTTTTTACAAGACCGTGGTTGGGTTATGCTGAATGTCCAAGATGTGTTCAAATCCTGAAAGTACAATGTTCCATTTACAGGGATGCCAGTTTTCAGGCTATTGGGAAAAACTTCAAGCATTCCATCTCTTCACAGGTTGAAAAATATATCCCCGTGTAGCACGCACAGAGAAAAAAAATTGTCATGCGACGCTCCATGGCAATTGCCAAGCTAGCTCAATACAACAATGTATGAATTGTATGTTCAAAGTAGACATATTACCAAGTGTTTAGTGGTATTGCAATGTATTCATGGTGTACTGCAATTGTTTTGTGCACGAGTGCCTGCTTTCACATGTCAAATTTTTCAGGCCCTGCAGCTGCGCATTCAAACGGGAAGAGCAGCTAATTTTCCCCACAAAAGCCAACAATCAGGATGGCCGGGTGACGGTGACGGTGAACACCCCCCCCCCCCGGGTGAAAATGCTGGCTACGCTGCTGTTAGGGAGATGCAAGTGCTGTTTGCCAACGTTTGAAGAGGGTGGGGCTTTTGACCAAATGTGGAGCGATCCATTATTTTGGATAAGGGACTTTAATCCAAGACGTTTGGTTAAAAAACCTTGTTTGTTCCTTGTGATATTTTGAAAACAAATCACACCCAGGGATTCAAACCTCTAAAGTGAAGACCTCCAAAAGAAATAATCATTATGAAAAACAGAGGAGGAGTTCCAATGTTTTCTTTTACAGTTGACGGTGTGGATTTTACTGTAGTTGACAACCCCTCTCTTCTTGGTCCAACTGGAGACAACGATTCCGTCATTGCAGTGTACCGAGGTCCTGAGGAGATTACATCTAATGTCTCATTTGGTCGTCAAGTCTCAACAGGAGGATCGCCTGGCCTCCTTCAGGCTCAGGCGAGATTGTCGATTCATCCTTGGGATGTGGAGTTAGATTGCTTAGCTTACCAGAGGAGGGAGGACTTGATAGGACGGGTGTCTTCTACGCAGAGGCGACCAGAAATAGCTTGACCACTAGGATACAGACCATCATTCTCCCCAAAGATGGTGAGATTATTTGTGTGTTTTGTGAATATTCAGTATGAAAGTATCCCTGTTCAGTCAGAGTCACTGTTCTTCGATAGAGCATAAACAAATTTGTTTAATATAGTAACATTTTTGGCAGCTTTTTTTTTTACAAAATTGATTTTAACTGAAATTGCCAAATTTGCTGAATTTTGGTATAGTATGTGCAAAAACGAAAAAAAATTGGGGAAATGTGTGGTAGATATACTCTTGCCTTAAGGTGTTGACAGATATCTTTGATTTCATCTTAGAAAGCACCGTTCATATACGTTCCGTTGTGCGAACACAAACAGCAAGTATTGGAGACTCTGTAGTAATGGAAATGCAGAATGCAAGCTCACCGAGCGAAGACCAGTGGCGTCGCCAAGGGGGGGCCAGGGGGGGCACGTGCCCCCCCCTGGAAAACCTAGTGCCCCCCCGAGTGCCCCCCCATCTGAGATTTGGGTTGGTAAAAAAATATATATATATTTTGTTATATTCAACTCCCATCATCTGAGTTGGTTAAATAGCAATTTCTGGAGATATCTTCAGATCGAATTTAGCATCAAATGTGGCACCATTTTGCATCTAGCCCATCCTCCGTATGCGAAAATTTTCCAAAGGGGAGGGGGGCACCCCCTCCCTTTAGACCCCTCCCCCAGGACGGCGATCCGTATCCACCTAAGTGCCCCCCATCAAATGCTGGTGCCCCCCCCCCCTGTGCCCCCCCCCCCAGACTGAAAAGTCTGGTGACGCCGCTGGCGAAGACTACAGATGGAGGCGTAGTGGCAGCGATGTCATCGAACCTTGGAACAACCTCCTGAGTGTATCGATTCCGAATGTCGCTAAGGAGGATGAAGGAATATACAGCTGCTTTGTTGTGGATCAAGAAGATGAACAACAACACGGAATCATGAGGCTCATAGTTGGAGGTTTGTCAGAGATTTTACCATCACTATACTTGTGCTTGAATGAACGATTTTGGGCTTGTTTGTTCACTATTTATATACAAGTCAATCAACAAACATTCGAAATGTGAAAGGCTTTCATTCTCTTCAATACTAGATTGTCTTCCTGGACATTGGGGTCCACCATCATGTCTGAAAACCTGTCGTCGATGCTACAATGGCGGTGTATGTGATGATGAGTCTGGTACCTGTATCTGTGCTCCAGGGTTCAGTGGAGACAATTGCGAGCAAGGTTAAGAGTTGTCAGTCAGTTAATGTGTTTAAAATCAGCTGAGTTGGGACCACTCCCTCAGTAACATAAACAGTGAACAATTGAATACCATTGTGGTAGCCTACTGAGGGGTTTGAAATATAAGGTCCCTTCAGTTTCCCTTCTTTTTTGATCATCTGTTAGCCCCTGAGGAAAAAAAACTTAAGGGCCTACTAACTGTGAAACATTTTGGGAAAGATATGGGTTTACCAGAATTGAAATATTATAATAGTTAAAAAAATCGTCTTGGTGTCGTGTTTTGCAGCTCATGACCGTAATGTCTTTGGTAAGACTGCTGATCAGAGGTGTCCCGGTAGCACTGATCCACACCACGAGGCTTGCAGAGGGCGTTTGTTCTGTCTTCCTGATCCTTATGGATGCTCGTGTGCTGCAGGTTACATGGGACTTGACTGTATGCAAGGTACAGTAGTTTGGCTGTTATCAGTAATTTGTTTGCAGTAGTTCAGTTGTTATCAAAGTATTAAAAATGATGTATGGAGAAGTCTTTTTGAAAGTGTACCTTTTTTTCTTCTTCAGAGTGTGCTGAAGGAATATTTGGTGCCGACTGTAAGCAGACATGTCACTGTGCATCGGGAGGAGCCTGCAGTAAAGATACAGGAGAATGCAGCAATGGTGAGTGTGTATATCGTTGGTTCAAATAATGTATGCCAATAGGTGGCGGGCTTACTAGAGGAAAGTAGCGTTTATGCCCAACTGAGCTGACACAGTTGGGCATGCCCTAAGTATAGTTAAGTCACGGTTTGGCAGTGGACACAGTTTGGAAATAACGGCCCGACGTCATCCGATGAAAACATCCATTCATTTGCAGACCAGTTTTCATCGGTTGCTATGTGTTACCATTCAGCACTCCAGACTCAAGAACAATTGAGTTTCAAGCACGTCGGTCGATAAGCAGGTGTAAAAAACAAATCCCAGATGTTCGCGCCCACCTACATTGATGGGTCCAATATCTTTGAATTACGTGTGATTTATCCACTGAAGTAAAAAACAATTCATGTTTAACGTGTTTTGATCACATTATTTAATCTGCTCACATTTATTGTTTCATTTAATTTCTTTCTCCAGGTTGTGAGGCACCGAATTTTGGAAGTAATTGCCAGTGCACAAGTAAGAGAGATTTAGAAAGGAAGAAAGTAATCAAGAATAAAATAACGCTATGGTGTTTTTCATTTAAAATGCTGCAAAAAATATCCTTACTAAAACAAAATCCTCGGACTGTTCAAGAATTTTCAAATGTTTCGGTTTTGCATTTTATGCAAGGAGATAATTATTTGAATTATTTTTCTCCTTGTTTCCAATGATGCGTTTTACATTTTTGTGTCATTTTTGTATCATTTCATCAGCTGAAAATGGCGTGCTTGGGCTTGAGGTGACGTCAGGCGATCCTCATCAACTGTTTGTTGCCTGGCAACCAGATGCTTGCTCCTCTGGCTACGAATTGACAACCAGAGATGAGTGTGGAAACAGTGTATCTCAGGAAACGATACTAGAAACGACTTACCATTTCATAACTGACTTAAAGTTCCCACTGAACTACAGAGTTCACTTTCGGCCGTTATACCCTGGTGATGTAAAGGGACCTGAGGTGACCTTTTCGCAAACAAGAAGTGAGCTAGTATATCATCAAAACTGGCAATTTTTTGTCACATGGAACAAATTTTATTTTGCGCAATTAGTTCTTGTCACCAAATGTACAACAAACGTCTTTCAAAAAATATATCGATCAATTATGTTATCACAAACTAGTTAGTACGAAGGTTTACACATTTTGACATTAGTAATGTATCATATTCGTAAAAAAACGATTATCAATCTTAAAATTCACAGTGCCATAAACAAAAATTCAATAATTTTACAACATTTTCAACAAAAGTAGTTCAAAAAGGAAGCCATTGGTTCAATGCATGTAACCTTTGAAAAGTTTTCTTTTGGTATATCAGAGCCAACTGAAGCCCCAACTGAAGTGACTTCCACCTCAGTGACGTCAACCAGCCTGAGTTTTTCCTGGAGTAAGCCACCTTGTGGAAGCCGAGGTGGTATCATCACAGGCTACACGTACATACTGACTGAAGTAGGCCCAGAATCTGTAGTAGTCATTCAGTCAGTGTCATCACAGGAATCGGAGACCATCCAGGGTTTATCCCCGCTCACTGAGTACAGTTTTCAGGTTGCTGCCAACACCACTGCCGGAGCCGGACCGTACAGTCAGGCTCAAGTGAAAATGACCCTCGCAGGTAAAAAGTTTATCAAAATACCTTTGCAAGCAACTTTAATTAGGCGTACCCTCAAAATATGTGCTTACAGCAATCCTTATTTTCTTGCCAATGTTGTATTGGAATGACCAGATCTTACAAAATCTTACCAATGAAGCTTCCTGAAATGAAAAAGTAACAGTTTACTTGACAGATCTAGGCCCTCTTAGGCTATCCAAGGCTTAATGGCAAGAGTCTGTAATTATTGTTTATCAACGCAATTAATTGAACCATGCTGTTTCAAATTACCGAATGTCTGACATTACAACAACAGTTTCTTTTGAATGGTTTGGTATACGTGTGTTTCCGGTGAAGAAATGTCAGGAGCATTTTCTTTTGAAATACAAGAATTTTGTTAAATCACGTGACCACCAAAACCAAAGAAATCGTATTTGATATCTTATCTCCATACTATATTGATAATAGCGCCCCAAATCGATGAAACTAGCTCATCCTTGGCAGTGGTAGGCGGCTCAGTAGCAGCTGCTGTAATCATTATTGTCATGGTTATAAGTGTCGTCATTGTGCTGTATAAGAGGTAAATCTTATTCATAATTGCTTAAAGACTGACATCATTTGCCAAAAAAACTTTGGTTTTCTCTTTGTCGTTGAGTAGATATTTAACAGTACCGTAACTTTTATTCTCCAGAAGAGTAATAAGGAATAATAATATTGCAAAAGATTTAATTTCGCTTACAAATCTCAAGTCATATTTCAAATATTTCCAAATTTTACGATGGCAGCACTTTTGCTTGATTTGATAGCCTTTGAAATAATTTACAGAAGAAGCCGTCGAAAGAACCAGCCTTCTGGCGTCAAAGAAGATACTTCTCTTCCACAGATCAATACTTTCGAAGCAGGTGGGTTTTCTGTCAAAATTTTCAATTTTCAAGCTGCAAAGACAATTCTTGGCCGTGACTTTAGGGACCAAAAGAATTTTCCAATTTAAAAAATCTGCGAAGTAAATGCGTGGCTAAGCATGCAAGGACCTCAGCAGAAATTAGTTGACATTTGGATTGATATTTCCTATTTAGATGTTACCTATCAGGTTCCAGAACCTACTGCAGAACCGGCCCCGTACATGAGCCTTGTCGATGGTGTAGTCGCGATATCTTCTACCAAACCCGCTGTGCAGAGCCCGATCTCTAACGTCGGAACTACCCAACCTCATCCGGAACAGCTTACCTCGCAAACATCCGAGAACGCGTTCGTGGATGATTATGAAACTACCTTACCCTCCCTAGGACCTTACGAGTACGCCTACGTGGACAACGTGGTAAAGTCTTCCACACACGCAGCCTCACGAGAATCGAAGTTTAAATCTCATCCGAATCCTACCACTTTTCAACCAGGAGCTGCTGCGTACACATCCGTAGACGAGGGTGCAGAGAAGTCCTCCACGCCGTCCGACCTACGCAATCGGAAGCCTAAACCTCCTCCGAAACCACAGGCTACCGACGAAGATACGTATGAGGTTCCGGATTCTGCTGTGTACGCACAGTCTGTCGCACGCAAACCGATGCCCGAGCCTCATCCGATACCATCCGTCTCGCAACCTGCGGACGAGGACGTGCAAGAGCAACTGATACAAAAGCTGTTCAGTCAGCTTTCGGTTCGCGTTAAAGAGCTCACAAAATACATCCGCAAGAAGGAGCAGGCTGGTCAAAATGGATTCCCTGCAGATTTCAAGGTGAGTGAAAAACAAACAAAAGATGCCAACCTTTTTGGTACATTTAAAGGTGACAATTACTATCAATAAAGTGGTACGTTTGCGGGTACACTAAGGAACACATTTCTTCTGTAAAGAAGTGTGGCTCTGAAAAGAACCAGTGGTGAGACTTATTCTTGATGATGGGGAGAGTGAACTCTGTCCGTTGTGGCATCGTTAGTAAATGTCAGCATTCAGAACTGGTAACCCAATGCAAACGAGATTCGAACCCCAGGTCACACAAGGATGTAAGCCTAGGCAATACAACGCGTAAACATCCAAAACAAAATTACAGGAATAATGGCCACCTGAAGTATAAGGAAAGAATCGCTGAGCTGAATAATTTCTTAACTATAGGTTTTAATTTTCATCTGATTGCTCTGTTTACAGACCCTTCCAGATGGTCAGTTACGTCCAGCGACTGTGGCTTTGAAACCACAAAATAAATCCAAGAATCGTGATGCGGACATCGTTGTCTGTAAGTATTAGTTTATATCTGGACGGCTGTGCCTAGTGATGCTGCCCGTTCTTTTAGTTGGCTAAGACTAATAACGTAAATATGATTTGAAAAATATTTTCAATACAGCCTTAAAAACCTGGTTCTTAAACAGTTAAATTTCTTTAATTTCGATGGCTTAACGTACTGCTTAACCGAATACGATACAGACCACATACTACCAGTTTACAATTTAAAGACACATTAATCTAAAACCGGTGTATTGTTAATGTTAATGTCGTTCGTAGATGACCATTCTCGTGTCGTGTTGGAGCCGTTGCAGAATGATCCTGATTCTGATTACATAAACGCTTGCTACATTGATGTAAGTTATTACTATACAATCCTTTAATACCAAATTAGTCGGTTTCCTTTTCTTCTTAAACATTGCTCTCAGTGCTACGATTGTATACAATTCTAACGTCGATATTTAGCATCTACCACATCTTGCATTGACCATAATAAATGTGTATTGCGTTGTATTGAAATGGTTTTAAACAAGTCTAATTTTCTTTATAGGGTTTCCTGGAGAAGAACAGGTATATTGCCAGTCAAGGTATTGAAAAATGTATTATACTTGTATTTTGTTCTAAAACTTGTTTATTTTGAAACATTTGGTAAGGTTGCAGCAATTACAAGGATACAAGCGCTTATTCCATTGGCCAATACAATCCCCATTACTTTATTTAATGTTTGTCTATTAAGGACCAACCGAATCGACGGTAGGAGATTTCTGGCGTATGGTGTGGCAGATGGAGGTGGATAAGATCATCATGCTGACCAATCCGGTAGAAAACGGCAAGGTAACGTGGGGTATAATTACTGCAAAATAATTGTCATTCTTTTTCTTCTTCTTCTTCTTCTTCTTCCATTGAGTACATCCCTCCATAGTGGAGTATTGTCGTACTTGGGTGCAAAAGTGCTCGGTCACGGGAACAAATTTTAACGAAGAGTGCAGTAAACTAATTAAGAACTCGGTGCAAGTAAAAACGATGCCCTTGTGGCATAACTAGCGGAGGGTGAGAGGTTTCAAGCTAGTCTGGAAAATCTCCAGTGACTGAGCTGAAACCACGGTGGCTGGTAAGGCATTCCAGATGCAAACAATACTTGGAAAAAAGCTGTGCTGGTATGATAGAATTCTACAGTGCTGTTGTGTGAACTGCTGTTGGTCTTTATCAGGAAACCTGAATGATCTTTAGGCATCAGTTAAGTTTTGTAATTTGTCAAGTTGTCGTGGCATGAATTACATATGTAAACTGATGGTATCTTTTCCATTTTGAAATGATGTTGTCATTGAAGGTCAAGTGTCATCAGTATTGGCCGGACACTGCAGGATTTACTCAGTTTTTGGACATCGCAGTTAGCATCGTCAAGGAAGACGTGTTCCCAGACTACACAGTTCGAGTTTTCCAGATAGACAAGGTGGGCTACTCATTGGGAGTTCGCTTTAACAACTCCCCATTGGCATAAATGCAATGGACAACTTGCTGTCAACTAGCCAACACGAGCTTCTTTTCTCCGTTGCGAGTTAATGCTCAAAGTTTCCCCTATTGTAGGGGTTATTTTATCTGCTACCATCAAGCGTTAGAACAATTCCTAGAACATGTATAAGAAGCGTTTCGAAATAGCGAGCTCCAATTGCGTTATGAGAGTTTGGTTGAAGACCTGTTTTCTCCTGAAAAGTTTATGTATATTAAATATGACTGCATTAAATTAAGCTCTTGTTATATTATTGATTTGTGTCTTAGTTTTTCAGTAAGAAAGATGATCGTCTGGTAACCCAGTTCCACTTCAACACCTGGAGAGACATGGAAGCACCAGAGCACCCGACTACTTTGCTCAGCTTCATACGTAGGGTGAATGCAGCGCGTAATGTGGGACAAACCATTGTGCATTGCAGGTATATATATAGGAACTGTGTTGCGAACGACTCGTGAATCGATAAGTAAACTACTTAATAAAAAGTTCTTATTTTCCCTAGTTCAAGTATTTGACGTTTGTTGTTCTGGAATTCAACAAAATATGTAACATTCAAAGCCTTGGTTATGAGCACTCAGTATCATTCACATTTTTAATTAGCTTGATGCTTTTCAAAATGTGAAAATAATGATTGCCGTGATCGCCATGGTTAAACCATAATAGGCCTGTATGACTATGTCTGGAAATAACAAGAAACAACTGTTCCTGAGAAATAATTATCTTTGTTTTCTGTTTCTTATTTTACAGTAATGGCATTGGCCGCACAGGAACCTACATCGCCCTGGACTCCATGCTTGATCAGATGCGCCAAGAGAGACAAGTTGATGTCCTTGGCTTCATCTATCGAATGAGACAAAAACGAAACAAGATGGTGCAAACACCGGTAAGTTTTTGTTTACGAATGGGATGATAAAGATGTAAATTAACCTGGTGATTTCCTCTTGTTCGAAACGTAGGCCTAATTAATATACCTGAAATGTCGGATAACTAAGCAAAGACTTGAAGCTAGGTGGAATTGCTCCAGTTGACTAAATCACATCTGACAGAAGGAGAACTGTGGCATCTAGTCCATATAGAGGGCGCTTCATTTTCACACTATCAATTCTCGATCAGTTGTGTCTATTATGATTGATAACATGGGTGGCATGGGTGGCATGGGTGGCTTGTGCGTAAAGCGCTCGCCTCTCACCAAGGTGACCACGGTTTGAATCCTGGCCACGGATCGCATGTGAGTAGAGTTGTGCGTTGGTTCTCTTCTGTGCCACGAGGGTTTTTCTCCGGACCCTCCGGTTTTCCTCCCTCCGGAAAAATCAAACACTTTCGATCTCAGGCTGTGCTCCGTGGTCTATATGGGTCGATGTGGCCGGCAGCCATAGGCGCCTTTGCATGCCAGCGGCCCGACCACGTTGCAGCCGCGTCCTTTGCAATTCAGCACACCAGCTGCGAGTAAAGATGATCCCTCCCAAATTATTGTTATTATTTTTTAATTATCATAACATGAAATTATTTCATTGATGTTAATATTTTAGGCGCAATATCGATTCATCTTCAATGCTCTGCTGGCTGCTTCTAAGGAAGATGACACGTCTTACGAGAACGTAGGGAAGAGCGCTAAGAAAGCGAAGAAACAGGTGGATGCAAAACTGACTGGAAAGTAAACCTCAATGACCTGAGTTGTCTAATGAGTTTGAAGATTTAGAGGCTAACATTTTACATGATAGAAAACAATACCCTTTGTTTATACCAGACTATCTCTTGGCATTTGCTGGTGTAAGCCCACATTTAGAATTGCAATTAACTTTAATTACATTATCCCCACTTATTACCCGTTGACATCTTTAAGATTATTTTAAATTACTTTGTGGTCCACAGAAACACCCTGTCTTCATTTGTGTGGTCACACTGGGCTCGGTCATAGACCTATAAAACCACATCCCAAATTCTTAGTATTTGCTGTCCTTGGTTTAATTCACTTAAAGTTACACATAATCCATTGTGTTCCATTCCTGTCTTTAATCAGCCCCTCTCCCCCTCAGTCCTCACTTTCATTCTTTCACTGTCTCTCTCTCTGTCAAGCGATTTTAGTCGGTGCTCTCAATAAACACACCCTGACCCTATAATCCTTGTCAAGAGTTTTATTTCTTCTGTAAAAGTTTCTTCTCCGTCTTCAACTTAATGATTTTGTCCGCTCCGGCTACAGTATACGCGCTACTAGGAGACATATTATTCTATACCTCCATGCTGTAACCAAGACTCTAGGACTGGTAGTCAACCACCTATGAACAAAATCTCATGTGTTACACTGTTTTATTTTCAATATGTGTGTGGTTTTTGTTTGCTTAAAATTGTACACATACAATGCATGTTTTTATTCACTGATCGATTATCCAAGATATCGTTTAATAAAAATATGTAATTTACTTTAAAACAGTTAACAATGATGCATCCTTAATGACATCATTATTGTGAAAAAAAAAGAATTTAATGAATGGCGTTAAGAAAACAAAGAAACAGTTGGATTTGATCTGAGTGGTTGCTGATTACGACCAAATTGTCAAGAGTTTCATTCTTTCACTGTCTCTCTCTCTGTCAAGCGATTTTAGTCGGTGCTCTCAATAAACACACCTGACCCTATAATCCTTGTCACGAGTTTTATTTCTTCCGTAAAAGTTTCTTCTCCGTCTTCAACTTAATGATTTTGTCCGCTCCGGCTACAGTGTACGCGCTACTAGTATTCTATGCCTCCATGTAACCAAGACTCTAGGACTGGTAGTCAACCACCTATGAACAAAATCTCATGTGTTACACCTGTTTTTTTTCAATTTGTGTGTGGTTTTTGTTTGCTTAAAATTGTACACATACAATGCATGTTTTATTCACTGATCATTTATCCAAGATATCGTTTACTAAAAATTTGTAATTTACTTTAAAACAGTTAACAATGATGCATCCTTAATTACATCATTATTGTGAAAAAAAGAGAATTGAATGAATGGCGTTAAGAAAACAAAGAAACAGTTGGATTTGATCTGAGTGGTTGCTGATTACGACCAAATTTAACGAGAGAAAACGGTAACCTGTCTATTCAGTGAACAATGTCAGTTAATAGTTTTGAACTTTTTTAATCATTCTTGATATATAATAAATAGCACGTGAACCATAGATCTGCTGCTTTATGTACTCATGAATAAAGATATCACATTGAGTTATCTATTAATTGTATATGCTCAGAAAAAAATGTACTGCGTTGATTTTATTAATTGTAAGTGCAGTAAATGTTTTTGCCCATTGCTAATACATTTCTTATTTGTGTATTGAACAATCATTAAGCAATTGGTGTTAGTTGATATTTCATTGGAACTTTGTTCCATGTTTGATATATAATACACGTGACGTATATCGTAAACCTACCCCGTTATATATTCAAAAGAGGTACCACATTGAATATAGCTGCTAATTGTATATAATCTGAAAAAGTGTACTGCATTTATTTTATTAATTGTGAGCGAAGTCAAACGGTTTCTTCGTTGCTCAAACAATTCTTAATTTTGTAGTGAATAATCATTTATCGTTTATATAAGTTGATTTTTGTATTAGAACTTTGTTTAAGATATATTTATGTTAAGTATAACGTAGATGCACTGCTTTATATAATTAAAATAGAGGATAACACAGTGAATGTATAGCTACTATTGTGGAGTGCTGTGGCCTAGTGGTTAAGGGCATTGGATTCGTGGTAAAGCTGCAGGTTATGGGTTCGAGTACAGCCTCGGGTCATGGTGCGTGTGCCCTTGGCCAAGGCACTTTATCACTCATTGCTTCTCTCCACCCAGGAGTAAATGGGTACCTGTGAGGGCAGAGATGGTTATTGTGATTAAATTAGCTTCCTTGCACAGGCTGCATCGAGTTGAATACTCCCCAGGGAGTTGAGATGGCAATTGGAATGTTCATGGGCCCAATGAGCAGGGGTAATAATAATGGTGTAGCTCCTTGAGTGCCAGTCCTGATGGATAGGTGCGCTCTATAAATACCCCCTATTATCATTACTACTAATTGTATATACTCATAAAATGTGTACTGCGTTAATTTTGATAATTGTAATCGAAGTAAAACCCTTTTCCCATTGTTATTACCACATAAGAAATGTTGTATTGTACACATTTTTTAATAATAATATTGAGCAGTAGTTAAAAGTGTGGCATTTTTCAGTGCGTCAGGACATCGTTGAATCATGTTAATTTGCGATTACATTTTTTTCTTGAATTATCCTGTCACGTGACTTTATTAACAAATAATTATCTTACCAAAAATGATCCAGGCCGGAAGTAACAGTCAAGTCAAGGGTCCTTGTTAGTTAAATATTTGGGTCTGCTTTATATTAATAATTAAAAGGCCATGCAACGCTATTTTAAGGCCATGGAATGTTATTTTCTTTGATGCAATCCTTGAAAATGCAGTTTGTGTTCCATTTAACCCAATTTTCAAATTTCGTTTTGCCTTTTTCAAGGCCATTTTGGTCCTTTTTATGGTAATGTTACTTTTCATAATCATGAAAAATTAGTGTGTGGTGTCATTTGAGGCAGAAACCTCAATGTTACAGCCATTTCAGCACCAAAAGTTGCCATTATTTTGGATATTTCGATGTCGTAAATTCTTTGGTGATTCGTAAATGTTGTGTCAGTACATTACGGTAGGCCAGTGAGCAAACTATTCTCACAAACGTTTTCAATGAACACATTTTTGGGTCACAATTTGAACCGAAAACCCTTAAACTGGGCAGTATCTTCCTGAAATGACATCGCAGCAACAGCGCTTTCACTGCAGTTGTCAAAAATCATGCACAATTTTAAATGTTAAAGAATTGCACTTTTCAATAAAATTAACCAAAAAGGGATGTCAAATAGGTAAGAAAACCAAGATCATCTTTAAATGATGTTCTATAGGGGCTGTTTTGGGGTAAATAGTGCAGCGTGTCCTGATAAACACCGTGCGTGAAGGATTGGCTATACATTTCTCAAAATTATAAATTCGTGGATTTCAAGATTCGTGATGTCAAGCCGTCGTATTTTGTCCGTGAATTTCAGTGGAACTAGATCGGCGCGGCTGGTATAAGACGTAATCGGCCGGGTTGCGACAAATCTAACGACGTAAATATGCAAATGAGGATTCATTCATTCCAATAGTCAGCATCATTCGTTCCAATAGTCAGCATCATTTGGTCTGGGAACCAGACTACGCGCATTGCAGCGATATTTTGCGTGCGTGGAGCCAGTAACCGTTATGCTCTACCTAAATACTACAAAACAACTTACCCGAAAAATTCCTGCTGAATTTTCGCAATTTCCCCAGGGTTACATATTTGAATGACAAAAACGTGGATTTGAAAAGAATTTTGTGCGAGTCATATTGCACAATCACATGACTATAGGCCTACGCATAGGTCTACGTGTACTATTCTCGTTATAAGGTGATTGGTACGCAGTTATACATCTCGTGTTGTGAACAGACTGGGATTTTCTCGAGCGACTAAATAGAAAGCCTATACTCTCCGTTTCATGAATTTAAATGTAAGACACTATCAGGAACGTGCCAAATTCTGAAGCTTTTGTAAAAATCTTAGAGAAGTAGGCCTATTATTGTTGACATGGTTATTTTGGAATGACGATAACTAAATTGCGTGTCAAATAATTGATTCTTAAAGTTTTCCTTAAAACAAGTGTTGAAATGTATGCCAGAATGAAACTATTTGTGGGTTTTAAGGTAACTTTAAAAGTCAAATAGGCTCCCAAGTTGAAATAGCTTTTATGTGTTAAAGGTTTGTCTTTGAGGCCTGCCATTTTGTCCAGCAATATCAACTCATGATCAACTCTTTGCAATAAAAAAGGGACAATACCCACTTTGTATCATTTATTTCAGCCATCTACACGTTTTGGGACTTTTAGTCCTTTTGACAACCAAAGAATTAAAAGGGACGCCCTAATGTAAACTTCCTTACAGTGGTGATCCTGTAATGAAACTGTTAATGAATTTAATGATGTAAACGATTGACTTACTGGCTAATACCAGAAAAGGTAAAATTCAGTTGGTTTATTGTAGAGTTGGACCATCCGTTGGTATTGCATAAGTAGGGGGGGGGCGGATCTACAGCCTTTCATAAGGGCAGCACAGCAGCCGAACTCAGCAAAACGGTCTTTAAAATATTTTTCATGCTTTACGTCTACATGTATGCTAGTACTTATTACAAAAACAATGGAGTACTGAAGTGTGACGTCATTTAGAACCAGAAAGTGTACGTAGTGCAAACGAATGGAGTACGCGCGTGTGTTGGTTGAATCACGCGCTAATGTCTTTTACACACATTTTGTGCGCGTGACGTATTCACTTCGGTACTCCATATACGTGTTGTTTTCCATTGTGTGCGCGTGATCTGTATGTGCAGGTACTAGGTGGCGGAATATTTGAGCTGATAAGTTCAATTCCTGCTCAAAATAACTGCACTGAAGAGTAGAAAGAATGAATCTTTTGTTGTGATCTGAGTGGCATAAACGGGTCAAAATTTCCCTTAAACACCAAGAATTCTAGATCCAGGGATGTGGTTAAATATTATACGTTGCAAAAAGCTAGAAACGCTCCTTTTTAAAGTCTGGGGATTAAAGATTTTTGGGGGCAGGGTGTGGCACAGCTGTGGAATTTATAATGACTTGTGCAGCATGCAGCAAAAATTAATCCAAGTAGTTCACAGAAAAAGTGATAGCCTGAAGTTCAACGCTTGACTGCAACTTCAAGTGGACTTTAAACTTCAGCGCTACCTTTCAAACAAAGTCACACCGTACAAAAGGAGTTCGTTTTTTCTTTTAAATTACCGACATTTATGACCGAAATTTATGACCACATCCTTTAATCTCATGCTTACATTGAAAAATGATGCTTAGAGTTTAATCACCTTTTTACCCACTTTTCCACGTGTTTACTCTAAGACATTTTGCGATTTTTTTAGCACAGTGTGAAAGTTTGCTAATGCCATCAATAACAACTTATAAATAAAAGCATAAGTGTTTAATTTGAAGTTAGTTTTTTTCTGAAACAGGTGACAAAAACAGAGTGAGGAAAAAAGAAAGAAATGTGTATTTAGCCTGTCTTCGACCCGAGGCCCGTTTGTCATTTTTATTTACTTTTACAATTTATTCTTCACTAATTGGCTTTCGTCCTGCACCTAAACATGTCACAAACATCCATAATTCATACATGTCGTAGATTCAAACGTGAAAAAAATTGGTACAGTTAAGTGTTTAGAAATATGTCTAAACTCTTAACTCTAAACTTCATAAAGTTTACCTATCGATCTTTGCCTGCACAATTTCATTTTAATTTGGATTTTTTTTATTAGGACTTAGTACATGTATTACATTCTTTTGATAATTACAATCTTTTCTTTTTTTCCCAGTACAAAATACAAAAACCCTCTACTGTGGGATTTCCGTTGGAATGGGGTGAAATTAGATAGCATTTTAGGACCCATGTTATCTCTGGATTTTATTAACAGATTTTCATAGGAATTGGAGTAGCTGTAGACAGGACTGTATTTACAGTGATATACAAATTGTAAAACCAAATGTATCATTCATGTCTGGGGCAGGTTTGATAACTTGGCAACCGATAAAAATAGAACACATTCAACAACAAGGCTGACCCAATGCTCTCCCGAAATTTTACGAATTTGTTTGCGCTTGATTTTGCATATTTTTTTAAGGCAAACCTAGGTCATAACAATTCCATACATGGACGTGGCTTTATGCTCTACCTGAATACTACAAAACAAGGGACTTACCCGCAAAATTCCTGCTCAATTTCGCAATTTCTTAGGGGTTATACAAACATGTATACTTTGAACACGAATGACAAAAACTTGTATTTGAAAAGAATTCTGTGCACTGCTCACACTGCACAATCACATAGGACCTTACGTGGGCCGCGCCTACATGTACTAATTTAGTTGTGTAATAAAGCAATTGCCAGTGCACATTCTACGCAGTTACACATTTCGTGTTGCGGACAGACTTACACATGTGCTAGGATTTTCTCGAGCGACTGAGCAGAAAATCGCAAGGTAACTTGCAACTATCAATTTCATAAATTTAAATGTAAGACACTATCAGGAATGTGTCAATTGTTCATCTGATTACTAAAACGTTTTGTTGCATTTATAGTTTCGCCCAGAGAGAAAGTTCTCGAAGAAAACTGTGAAAAGACAGTGTTGTTGCACTTTTTATCCTGGGACATGCTTTCCGATTTTCAGAAAGCACCAAAAACGAATCAGTTTCCATTTCACATTGGTTGTTGAATGAAAGACTTCTCCTATGCATGCAATACTTTGCTGTTGTAATAAACAGATTTGTTGCAGAGTCGAAACAGGGGCTGGTAATTGAACTGCACTTTGTAGGTTACTTAAAACAGTGATTTGTTATCGATTGATAACATTAAATCAATTGAATCCTAAATTTCTATATGTGCTCAGAAGCTAGAAATCTATACTCATAACTTTCGATTGTGTAACATAAATAACACGTCAGAATTGTTTCACATTTTCCATTTTATTCAGTAAATATACAACGTAGGAATTTATAATCAAAAACTCTCAGCTTCGCCTCTTTTTATACTCCATTGGTTTTAGATATATTGTTTAAGCTTTCCAATTTTCCCTTTTGTACAATAAATATTTAGTCGGCGTTATGACATGTATAGGAATTTAAAATTAATGATTCTCTTCTGCGCCACTTTGTACTCCATTAATTTTTATGAATATATTGTTTAATTTTTAATTTTTGGTCCCTCTGGTCGTCCAAGGAATAACAATATGGATAAATTAAAAACTTTTGTAATAAATTGGGAATCTAATAGAAAAAAGGGTTGTATATTCACAGAAATCCGCATACAAGGCATTTTGTTTTGTTCAATATATCAACTTCGTTGATTTCGTAGTTCGTTCTTTTTCTGTTTGAAGGAAATTGTGCTTCGATTAGAAATAATGAATAAGCAGAAAAGGGGACATCCTTCCCTGTTGACATTGGGGTATAATGTAAAATTTGTAAATTTAAGGACCTTTTTTTTTTGGGGGGGGGTTAATTTGTCGGATGTTTTGTACGCAAACTTGTTGGCAAATGTGGTCCGACACCCCCACTGAAAACGTTCTAGCGACGCCCCTGACTGTATCCAAAGTCTTTACGTAATAAAGAGAACTGCCAATACAGTATCTGTTCTTTCTGTAGGGTGACGTTAATACAGCACTCCCTGACAGCACAGTCGTGCATTTTCTGGACAGGACGTTGTGACGTTTGCCATCAGTTAACCAGGTAAGATCAAAATAATTATACAGTCCCGTCCGAACCTCCTTCGCAAAAGTGTTTTTATAAGGACACGTCTTTTAATTCTTTGGTTCTCATTTTCGACCAACCCAAGAAAAAACCTAACTTAAATACATAAATAAAAAAAAAATTATAATAATTCCAGGCAATCGGATTCTGTCATGGAAAGGTATGGAGACTGATTGGTATGAGAAGCATCGCGTTAAGCAACAAGTTCAGTCCAAGATGATGGAGGAGGGTGTTGCCTCTCAACCTGTCGGCCAAAAACTCGGAGCAGACTAAAAAAAATCACTATGTGGAACCACGTGGAGAATTTTATCACACATGTGTTTTTAGGTCAATAACCCTGGCATGCCTGTACATGCACAAGATATAGGTCATTCACATGGCCAGGGATTGTTTACAACCTGTCTGAGCTCTTGGCAGCACAAGGAGTTGACACGAACAGATCGGCGGCACTTAGGGGTTGGCCACTAAGATCTCCAATTACTGCACAAAGGCATTAGGTGCCATCTTGGCTGCTGACTTTCAACACACCTTACTCCTTACTAATGGGAGTCTACAGGCTTGTGTTGTATAGTAGGGGTGAGGATTACATGGAAGCTTGGCGTAATTGGCCCATTGACAAAAATTATGCCCATCTTTGGAAAATGTGGAGAATTTTATCACCGCCTCGCTGCTCTGAAGGTCGCTGTACGGTACAGATATAGTGTAAGTCAACGACATCTTCACAACGATGGCTTACTTATTCAGGCCTGACAGTGTCCCCTCCCCTTCAATTTAGTCTTTTTTTATAGCTTTTGAAAATCAAACTTTATGTTTGTAAAGCTTTTCCAAACACCAAAATAGGCATTTAAGGTTTTGTGGATGCAAAAAAGTGCAGTTTTTCAGCATGGGGTAGCAGAAATCTAGAACAAGCTATCAATTCCATGCAATCTGCCGATTCCTGAAACACTTGTTAAAAGTCTTACAGAGGTAGGCCTACATATTGCGTTAACAGAATATATACATGTTATAATATAATATGCTTCAAAAGACCAGACAGGACCTGCCCGATTTTGTTTGGTTTGATTTTGCATTTTTCCCAGGGAAACCTAGTTCATAACAATTCCATACATGGACGGACGTGACTTTATGCTCTACCTAAATACTACAAAACAAGGGATTTACCCGCAAAATTCCTGCTCAATTTCGCAATTTCCCCAGGTTACCTATTTGAATGACAAAACATGGATTTGAAAAGAATTTTGTGCAAGTCATACTGCACAATCACCTGACTATACGTAGGTCTACGTGTACTATTCTCGTTATAAGGTGATTGGTAGTCAAAGTCTATACGCAGATATATATACATGTACATCTTGTGTTGTGAACAGACTGACTGGGATTTTCTCGAGCGACTAAAATCGAAAGCATATACTCTCCGTTTCATGAATGTAAATGCAAGTCACTGTCAGGAATGTGCCAAATTCTGAAACTTTTGTAAAAATCTTAGAGAAGTAGGCCAATTATTGTTGACGTGGATATTTTTTGGAATGACGATAATTTATTTATTGTGCGTCGAATAATTGATTCCTCAAATCTTTGCTTAAAAAGTGTTGAAATTTATGCCAGAATGAAAATATTGTTAGGTTTTAAGGTTACTTTAAAAGTCAAATAGGCTCCCAAGTTGAAATAGCTTTTATTTGTGAAAGGTTTGGCTTGAGGCCTGCCGTTGTGTTCAGCAATATCAACTCATGATCAACTCTTTGCAATAAAAAAGGGACAATACCCACTTTGTATCATTTATTTCAGCCATCTACACTTTTTTTTTTTTTTTAACTTTTAATCCTTTTGACAACCAAAGAATTAAAAGGGACGCCCTTATGTAAACTTCCTGACAGCGGTGATCCTGTAATGAAACTGTTAATGAATTTAATGATGTAAACGATTGACTTACTGGCTATTAAATACAAGAAAAGGTCAAATTCAGTTGGTTTATTGTAGAGTTAGATCATCTTTTGGTCTTGCTGTGCCTGTGTGGGGGCGGAGGGGGGGGGGGCGGCGCTACAGCCTTGCATAAGGGGAGCACAACAGCCAAACTCAGCAAAACGGTTATTAAAATATTTTTCATGCTTTACTTGCGCCTCTATTGTATTTATTACAAAAACAGTTTATACTTTTGTTTTCCATTGTGTGGACGTCTGTATGTGCGAGAGGTCGAGTATTTGAGCTGATAAGTTCAATTCCTGCTCAAATTTCTGCACTGAAGAGTAACAAAAAACGGCATAAACGGGTCTCATTTTCCCTTCAAACAACACGAAGTTAAATGTGGTCAAATATTAAAGTGCGTACAAAAGCAGGAAATGTTTGTTTTTGAAGTCTGGGGATTTTAAGATTGTGAAATTTATAATGACTTGTGCAGGCATGCAGCAAAAAAAATCCTAGTAGTTCACAGAAAAAGTGATAGCCTGAAGTTCAACACTAGACTGCAACTTCAGCGCTACCTTTCAAACAAAGCCAGGCCCAACAAAATGAGTTGTTTGTACTCTTTTAAATTACCCAAATTTATGACCACATCCTCTAATATGAAAAAATTATACTTAGAGTTAAATAACCTTTTTACCCACTTTTTTTCACGTGTTTACTCCATACATTTTGCGATTTTTTTTAGTACAGTATTAAAGACTGCTTATGCCACCGCTAACAACTTATAAATAAAAGTATAAGTGTTTATTTTGAAGTTAGTTTTTCTGAACCAAGTGATAAAGAAAGAGTGAGGAAAAAAATGTGTATTAAGCCTGTCTTCGACCCGAACCCCGTTTAGTCATTTGTATTTACTTTAACAATTGAAGGCTTTTGTCCTGCAATGTGGGGGGGGGGGGAGTGGCGCTGTTCAAAACCGACAATTAGGCACACTAACGGACAATATATGGTGCTTTTAACGGCGATACATGCGCGAAATTAACAAAAAAGGCACCCGCAACGGCCGATGGGACCAATAAGGCCACAACTTACTTTTAAAAAGGGCACTTGTTCAGAAGAAAAAGAGCACTTGTAAAAAAAGGGCAATCTTTGCAAAATATTGGGGGGGGGGGTAAGCGCTGGTGAAAACAAGTCAGGTGTGTTTACAAACACAAATGCCCCGCAACCGTGACTGTTTCCATGACATAACACCACTCTAACATCAACTTACATGTACCTTGGTCAAATGGAACGTTCATTGACAGCATTAGTGTCTTCTGTAGGTTTTATAGAATAAATATAAGATTTATATTGTTTTAGCCACTGTGACCTTGACCCTTGACCTTTCGACCCCCAATGCGATAGGCTCCTTAGGATTGCCAAGGACAATCCACAAACCAAATTTGAAGTTCATATGTAAAGTATATCTCAAGTTATCACGCTGACAAAATTTCTATTGTTTTTGCCACTGTGACCTTGACCCTTGACCTTTTGGCCCAAAATGCAAAAGGCTTCTTAGGATTGCCAAGGACAATCCACAAACCAAATTTGAAGTTCATATGTAAAGTATATCTCAAGTTATCGCGCTGACAAAATTTCTATTGTTTCAGCCACTGTGACCTTGACCCTTGACCTTTTGGCCCCAAATGCAAAAGGCTTCTTAGGATTACCAGGGACAATCCACAAACCAAATTTGAAGTTCATATGTTAAGTATTTCTCAAGTTATCGCGCTGACAAGATTTGTCCGGACACACACACCCACACCCACACCCACACCCACCCACGCACCCACCCACGGAAGGACAAGGCGGAAACAGTATGCCCCTTTAGACCAGGAGCCAGGGGGGGGGGGGGGGGGGTCAGCCTAGCTGGAAAGTTAACCAATTTTCATGTATGCAGCAATGTTCCACATGCATACCAATGTAAGGAAATGGACGTCTGCCGGGCACACTGTGGTGGGTATGGTCAGGAGGGCCATGAGAAAGGGGCCACAAAATTGAGCTAGATCAGCTGGTGAGTTAACCCAATGAAACCTACTGGAAAATGTTGGGCCTAGTCCCAGGTATCATGAATGGCCACTGCCAGACATTTTCAGTGGTGGAAAGTGCCCGCCAGACATGAAAAACCTGTAGAGGAGGGGGCGTGGCCATAACCCCCTCCCATTCCTTTTCGCCGATAAAGTAGCAACGCATCGATATAGAAAAATGTAAAACCAGTTTCTATATGTGCCCTGACTCTTGTAGAATACAAAAATATCACTTAGGAGTAATTTAAGATCGGACTAATTAACTAAAGAGCGGCGCGAATAGCTTGGAGGGGGCGGGGCTACCACCCCTCCAAGCATATTTTCGCTTATATCATTGCAACGCATTGTATTAATTCTGTCAAATTTTCCTGGCATGTTTGCCAATGCCTTTTGGCTATTGTGTATCCATTTTTAACAAAATAAAGCACACTGTTCTCATCAGATGTCATTGCCAAAAGAAGTAGGTTATGTTCAATATGTACAGTACATGTACATTACATGTGCTGGGTCGGAGCTTATAGTTTAAAAAAGGTACAGAAAATGAAAACTTACAAAACCTGGGTTTTTTTGAGGTCCATTTCCCTTGTTTTTGTATGCTTTGACAGACACTTAGACACTGGTTAATATATTCATACATGGAAATACATCTTTTTTTTACACTTTTGTGGGCGTGGCCTAAATATGTAAATCAGGGTGTGATTAAGAGCACTCTGATTCAAACGAGGCCAATTTGTAATTTTGCTGACAAATGACAGTGGTACTGGTATGTATATAAAGAAAAACGTGCCATGGGGGACACACGGGCATGTAGGGATGGATGGAGAAACATATGAGAGAGGTAAAGAGTAAGGAGAGGGAGATACATAGGGTATTATGCCTGGGTAAGAATGGAGGGGAGGGGGTTTGGAAGGAGGGGGCACAGGAGGAAAACAATACCCAATTTGTAAGTCTCCTATGATCCCACTTCTTGCCACTCTCTTTGTCCCCAGCCTGATATCTCTCTCAACCCCCACCCATTTCGTTTATCCTCGCCCAAACAAATTTCTTTTGCCCGTTGCCGGTCATTACTTCTTTATGATGTTCACCTGTGGATCTCTCCTCAGATCCAATAATCCCTCTTTTGTGTGCTGGCCCCATACATTTTTCTTGTAAATGCCATTTTGAGATTTAATAATATCATATTTATAAACGCTGTGTACTCACACGAATTTAATACACCTGCCACTTTAATACGTCCTTCTTCCTTTCTATTTTCTTCGGTTCCGATAGAGGTATTTAACTTAATACATGTAGCGTTTTCCTCGTCAGGTGACTCAGGTCGAATTTCTATAAACTTACTTGTTGGGTACCATTGCCCATAACACCAAAAAGGGGCAACTGCTCAGAAAATGGCGCACCTTCAGTCGGTGTGAAAGTGAGAGCTCTTCGTGAAGTGAGAGCTCTTCGGCCTCCGCAATGGCCGATCTGAAACTCATTTTTTTTTTTGCAGGAAAATGTGGTCCCCCAATAAGTGAGTCCACAAAATTTAGGCACGTTGGGTTCAGGGCCCGCTTAAGTGCCCGGAAAAAATGGATTGTAGATGCTCTGTGATGAGATCCGAAGCAAGTTCTGACCAATTTGTTTTTAGGAAAAGATGGTGGTGTACATGGCTGTTTTTTTTGTGACATCACTAAAAATACAATTGGGTTCGTTATTGTATGTTATTATCACTAAAAGTACAATTGGGTTCGTTATTGTGGGAAAGGCATGGGCCCATTACCCCCCATCCTCTTGGATCCGCCCTTGGACCTTCGGCAAACGGCACATTATACGTCCTCCGCCCCCACCAGTAACCTCTGTGGGTCCCCCCATGAATTTGACTATAGTTATGTAGAGAGACAATTTTTTTGGGGTGGAGGGGCACTTTGATGACCTGGAAAAATTTGGAGGGGGAGGCAAGTGTCCCCCCCCCCCGTTCCGTGGCCCCTGCCAGCAGGGACTGCACCAAAACTATTGAAGCGATGGAATTTGCATCGGAGTGATTTAAATCAAATTAGGGGTTTTGCCCTTCATCAACGTTTTTATTTACATTATAAACACTGTACATGTAGGCCCACACAGGTCCCAGAGTATAATATCACAGTTATTTACCAAAATACCTGCCTATTTCAAAACATAACTCCAGTTTATTTTGTTGACTTATATAAAATGATTAAAAATTAAAGTAACAATGCACAATAATCATTATTTAATAATGATGACTCTGTGTTTGGCCAGCAAAATCATACATTTTCCTCGTTTCATTCAGAATGCAATTATTCACACCCTGATTTACATATTTAGGCCACGCCCACAAAAGAGTGAAAATAATATGTATTTTCATGTATGAATATATTAACCAGTGTCTAAGTGTCTGTCAAAGCATACAAAAACAAGGGAAATGGACCGCAAAAAAAACAGGTTTTGTATAGTTTTCATTTTCTGTACCTTTTTTAAACTATAAGCTCCGACCCAGCACATGTAATGTACATGTACTGTACATATTGAACATAACCTACTTCTTTTGGCAATGACATCTGATGAGAACAGTGTGCTTTATTTTGTTAAAAATGGATACACAATAGCCAAAAGGCATTGGCAAACATGCCAGGAAAATTTGACAGAATTAATACAATGCGTTGCAATGATATAAGCGAAAATATGCTTGGAGGGGTGGTAGCCCCGCCCCCTCCAAGCTATTCGCGCCGCTCTTTAGTTAATTAGTCCGATCTTAAATTACTCCTAAGTGATATTTTTGTATTCTACAAGAGTCAGGGCACATATAGAAACTGGTTTTACATTTTTCTATATCGATGCGTTGCTACTTTATCGGCGAAAAGGAATGGGAGGGGGTTATGGCCACGCCCCCTCCTCTACAGGTTTTTCATGTCTGGCGGGCACTTTCCACCACTGAAAATGTCTGGCAGTGGCCATTCATGATACCTGGGACTAGGCCCAACATTTTCCAGTAGGTTTCATTGGGTTAACTCACCAGCTGATCTAGTTCAATTTTGTGGCCCCTTTCTCATGGCCCTCCTGACCATACCCACCACAGTGTGCCCGGCAGACGTCCATTTCCTTACATTGGTATGCATGTGGAACATTGCTGCATACATGAAAATTGGTTAACTTTCCAGCTAGGCTGACCCCCCCCCCCCCCCCCCCCCTGGCTCCCGCTCTACTTCTGCTTCGCCGCGGGCATAAAAAGGGCATTTGAATAGAAAAGGGCAGTCTTTACAAAATATTGGGGACCCCCCCCCCCCCCCCCCCCGCTGGCTACGCCTATGAAACATGTTACAAACATCCGTAATCCACACTATGTAGTGGATTCAAACTTGAAAAAAGTGGGTACAGATAAGTGTTTAGAAATGTGTCGAAACGCTCAACATCGCATAAAGTTTATCTATTCATCTAATTTCACTGCACATTTTCATATTCATTTTTGTTTTAGCAGGACTAAGTATATGTATACGTTCTTTTGATAATTACAATCTTTGTTTTTCCCCAGTATGACTAATCCGAAGAAGATTCATCTTTTCTGGCTGGTAGTCTCCATGGTAATTGCATTTCCTGAAATGCCGGTTTCAGCTGTGGATCTGCAGATAGGTACACCTGCTGGGCCGCAATGCTTCGGGATATCAAGAGGTCAGCATTTTGTCCTTGGCTTTTCTGACAACCATGATTCGCGTTCCGAAACTAGGGAGCTCACTATTTTAGTGGTAGCTTTCAGTAATCGACAAACATCAGTCACGATCAGCAGCAAGTATGAAGTAGCTGGCAGGCCATTCCTGGAGAGCTTTGTGATTGGGGCAGGTGGGTTTAGAAGAACCGTACTTCCTGCCGAGCTGGTGATGGAAGGCACCGAGAGAAGCCTGAAGGGGATCGAGATTTCAGCATCTTCCGATGTGTCTGCGTACGGTTTGATGTATCAGGATTTCACCACTGATGGTTTTCTAGGTATACCAACAAATAATCTTGGTACGCAATACGTTCTGGTAACGGGGCCCCCCCTATCTCCGTGGCGCTCCCAATTTTCTGTCATAGGCACGGAGGATTCCACCTTAGTGCAAGTTACTTTACGAGGTCGGGTTACATTTGAAGGAGAGGATTATGATGCTGGTGATGCGTTCAGATTTAGGGTCGACCAGCTGGAAGCTGTCCAAATCCAAGGAGCGCCTGGACAAGACCTAACAGGAAGCATCGTCCAGACTAACAAACCAGTTGCCGTTTTCAGCGGCAATGAATGTGCGAATAATCCGAGATCGACTTGTGACACATTGACTGAGCAGTTGGTACCCATCAAGAGTTGGGGGAAGAAACACATCTACACCTCAGCCCGAAGCACCGACAGAAACAACTACCGCATCGTTGCCTATTTCACCGAGACAATTGTCACTATTCCGGGATTTGGGAATCGGTCCTTGGATACGGGTGAGTTTTGGGAAGGCGATTTGTATGGTTCAGGGTCCGTGTCCTCCACTGAACCAACACTCATGATGCAGCAGCTTGTTAATATTAATGGTGAACAACTTGACCCGTCTCTGATACAGGTACCTGCTGTGGAACATTTTGGGTTTATCTTTGGGTTTACTACACCGCCTTATTTTGGAGAGAGTTCAGAAGGTGTTTTCAACTTCATCGGTATCATTGTGAAGACTAATGCACGCCAGACTGTCTTTTTAAATGGATCTCCCATAAACGGCACCAATGTTATTGAAAGTAATGTACCCAACACTGACTATACATCGCTGACTGTCCAGCTGCCGAAAGGAGAAGGATTCTACTTCGTCGAGCAAACTGATTCTCAAAATCCTCTTTCTGTCATTGTCTATGGGTATGAAAATGACGAATCATATGGATATGCCGCTGGTTTGTAAATAACAACACTAGGAGTAGAATCGGATGTATATTTGTTTTCCTTGGGTAATTTCAAGCGGTAGGCCTCGATATATAGCGATTTATTGCCAAGGTGGAGGTTTAAAAGGTAGAATGTAAGAATATGAATCTTGTTAATTATAATGATTATACAACACATTGCATTTAAATGTTGCGCTCCTAAGAGACACTCCTGTTGTGAAACACGTTCCTTTCATCAGGCATATTATATTCTTTATACCGACAATGAAGAAACAAGGGAGACCAAGTGCGCCCTCAGTTTCTTAGCTACCTAAACGTTTGGCAAGTGATTTGCATGTTCTCATTAAACACTTTGATTTGTATCATATGTGACCTTTGTGCTTCCTCGCAAGGGCAACTTGTATCAGTGTCCTTCCATACACTGAAAGTTGTCCAAACTTTATATCTGGAACTTTCTTCAGGTTGTTGGATAATTGATTTCTAATATACTAAAATCATTTTGATTATTGTAAAGTTTAGTATATACATGTACTGTATATCGTTTAACATAGTGTCTGGATGGGTGAGCCTACTTCTGGTAAACTTGCATAGCGCATTAATTTTGTTAAAGGTAGTTTGGCTGACTGTGAGCTGGGGCTTTTTCTCAATGATTTTGAGTAGAGAAGAGCAATACCCATTTTTTCTGTAAATCCTCTCGATTTTGTAGGCCATGGCATGGTCCTAGTGGAAAATAATATGGGAGGGTAACTTCCTAAAACTCCCAGTGAGTATTGTTCTGGTTTATATAATCGTTTTGTCGACAGAGAAATTGTGTTATTTTCGGGATAGAGCTGACTCATTATTGTATTGTAGCGTACAGCCAGCCATGTGTTGAACTTTGACCTTCACATTATATTACTCTGCCATTTGATTATTGTAATACTTAGGATAGCTACTAGTGAAATGTAATTTTAAATCAGTAGATAGTCATCATTATATTGTTATTGTTTTGTTGGATATTTTGAAAGTTCATCCGCTTTAAGTAGAGGACCGTTAAAAGGTCCGTGAGATGATTTTTCTTAGAAACACATTTTGTTCAACTCTCTTCTACTCTTAAATGTATGAAAGCTATTTTACATTAATTTTTGCAAATATTAACCATGGTTAATTTTATTGAAAAATTCACTTCGTTAAACATTTCAAATTGTCCATGCTTTTCTGGACAATTGAGGGTGCTGTTGCTGTGATGTCATTTCAGGAAGACACTGTTTAGTTTGGGGGTTTTCATTACAATTTTAAGCCAAAAAAGGAGTTCATTGAAAACATTTTTGAGAAAAGTTTGCTCATTGGCTTCAGTGTTGCCAATTAATATTTAGATTTAGTTATTTACGATACAAACTTCTATTTCATGTCCATGCATTTCCGGACAATTGAGGGCGTTGTTGCTGTGATGGCATTTCAGGAAGACACTGTTCGGTTTAGGGGTTTTCGTTACAATTGTGAACCCCAAAATGTGTTCATTGAAAACGTTTTTCAGAAACGCTTGCTCATTGACTTCCTGTCATGTACAATACTGACCGAAACGAATTACCACAGAAAAGGAATTTTACAGCAAAATATCAAAAATTTGGGCAAATGTTGTGCTGAAAGAGCTATAACATCGAGGTTTCTGCCTGAAATAACATCACACGTTTGCTCAATGACTATATTTGGAAATTCGCGTAAGCATCAAAACCAAAAAGGCCCCAAATATCCTTAAAAATGGCAACAACAAAAATGAAGATATTCAAAGTTAAATGGAACACAAATGTGTATTTTCGAGAAGTGCATGAAACAAATGACATTATAATGTGGTATGTATGGTATATCTTAAAAATGATGTTGACAGTGTCAGTCTCTGACTTTTATAATCGATATAATTTAAACATACATCATGTGGTAGATTACGGATTAAACTGCTTACATTAGATATAAAAATTGTGTACTGAATCACCATTTTTGTTTGTTCAGATAGAACATCCCAACCAGTAAGGAAAGATGCCTTATTGTGTTGCAAATTTAGTAAACATCAAAAGTAAAACATAACTGCAACAGTTGATACATTAAATGCAAGAAACAAGTTTATTATTCCTGCTTTCGCACTGGCAAAGAGTCTATACTGATGCAGTGTTCGAATATGAAAAATCAATGCATGTTTTTACTATGGGCGAGTCCATTTAAAATACTTAATTTGAATATGAAATTAGCAACAATTGAGCGTTCTCGTTTGCAAAAGGTTGAAATAGTTTTGTGTTTGGCAAAGGCATATATTATACAAATATTGAATGCTTTGAGTGGTGCAGTAAAACTAGTACGAGGTGATCCATGGACATTCTATTTTCCTGAGGCGAAGCCGAGGGAAAATAGAATGCTCCATGGATCACCGAGGGAGGCTAGTTATACGAACGACGTGACTACTAATGCAATGATTGCCATTCTAAATGGATTAACGATCGCATGTTTGTTTTTACAACGGCCTTAAATAGTGTAAAATCTGAAAATCCAAAGAGCGCACAAAAATGTGATAGTTTCGGAAACAATGTGAGATAAAAATACAAATAAAACACACCAATACTGAATGAAATCAAGGGTCGTTTACTCACCACTTGGGCTGATCTACGTTCATGCCATAAGTCAACGACGAAACAATGCCGGAGGCAGCGGCAATTACCAGTGATGATCGGCAATGCCAGTGGCCAAATTGGTCGGGAACCGCAACTAAAAATTGGAACTAATAAAGTGCACCGCTGCCAATTTTGCTTCTGCTTCTGCTCAATACTGTGCAATCGCCTCCATTTGGCGGTTATCACGCACTGTTGGTGTTGACGCAACGAAATGTTGGATCGAAATCAATGTTTTAATCAGGGGAATTAAGGGATTATGTTTAGAGTGCGTGTTATTCCGTTAACAAAGCGCGGTATGCAAAACTCGCTGGAATTTCTATTAACTTTGAAACGTGCCAGAATCTGGGGCGCCACGGGTTCGGGAATAGAAAGCGCTCACTGATTGGTCAAAATCTAGGAGGTCAAGAGGCGGGGTCTTGCTTAATAAGCCATTTGCGAGTAACCTATACCCTTTGGGATTGACATTTCAATAACATCTGGTACACTGACTTGCTCAGAATGCTTGGCACATTTTAACTTTGAATTCTCCAGACCAAAGACACTGTTGCTAATCACATGATTCGGGGCAAGCTCTTGCATAGTTACGTAAGAGACGCTCAGCATCAATACATCGCTCACAATGGGTGAGAATGGCACAAAGACACCAGACCATGCCAGAGCTGGGTGTTGCTAGCATAAGGCTTGCCCCGAATCACGTGATGTAGTAACAGTCTCTTTGGTCGGGAGAATGCAAAGTTAAAATGTGCAAAGCATTGGATTAAGTCAGCGTTCCAGATTTTATTAAAATTTAACTCGCAAATGGCTTATTAATCAGAGAATCTGTTCACGCGTAATAGACCACGGCATTCGCCGTGTTTTCGATTGTGTGGGAGTTTAATAAGGGGGGGGGGGTGGATTTTGGCTTCATTTTATGATAGGAGGCGCTCTTTCACCATTTAGTTATGATTTTCAGCAGAGGGACAGGGGATGAACATTATCGACGCGTAGGTTACTCCTCTTCTTGTGTAACTGAAAATAAGAAAGAATAAAAAACATTTGACGCTCCGAAATTTGACACTGGTAGAAGGGGACCGCCCTTCTACCAGTGTCACCCCCCCCCCTTTGAAGCGTCCCAAACCCCCACCCCCAGTCCTGCTACCGTTCCTCGTTCGATTGTACACCAAGGAAGTTTAAGTTCGTATTATGCCAAAAATAAATTACCACTGAAAAGTGAAGAAAAAAGATGAAAAGTCCAGGATGTTTCGTGTTAGTTTGATCACGAAACAAGGTCATGAAAGTTTCTTCGAGATTTCTTTGACCGTTTATAGTTCCTCGGTTTATTCGGTTTTGGTTGTTTTTCTTTCTTTGTGATAACACCAAAAGTCTGAACGATGTTATTTTCCTGTTACTTACACGAGACCACACAAGGATCAAATAATCATTTCCATAACCACTAAACAAAGTAAATCTGAATTGGGATTAATTTCGAGAAGACAATTCAATTTATTGATCCGAACAAGAATTTGTAATCCACATTTTTAAAATTAATAACAGCTGACAAAACTGGCAATGATGACAATAAATCTAACAATGTCACATCAACTTACAGCAGAAAAAAAGTCAAAAATAGCGAAAGCTTTGATCATTACATTTAGATATTCGTCAAAAACCCTCGATCGTCAAAAAAAAGAACTTGCAATAATTCTGGTTTATGGAGGGCAATTATTAAGACAAAAAATCCAATATCTATTCCTGTTTTTGAGGCGGTCTGTCGTTATAACAACGACGTTGGTGTACTGTGTTCCCTGCACTTCCAGTCAATAAGATACATAGCTCTATCACTATTGGTTTGATTTGTTTTGTAGCGATAGTTCCCGAAAAAAAACAACATTTACTTTTCGTTCTAATTAAATTTCCTGTTAATAATATTATTTAAAGCCAAAAAGATCGACGTGACAAATGTCAACCCTTTCTTCAAACTTGTTACTTGATCCCAAATACAAATTTTCCAACTACAACCGACAAACAATAATAATCCAACCAATCGCATCTAATAGATCGGATGTTTCAACACTCAAACAGCAAGATCATCTTCAACATGAAATAAAAACGCAAACTGAAATAAAGGCATGTCGATATTCTTTACACCAAGCCACACGACTATTGAAATCAAATCAACAAGTTGCAATCTTGACAACAAGGCAAAAGACTTCATAATTTAAGAAAGATATTAAATTCAATTTTAAAAGTTTTGAACATTCATATTGCCATAACACGTAAATATCAATCCCGGTTTACACTTAAGGTTAGCGGGTTATTAAAACGTATACACAGACTAAAAAGGTGCAAATTTGCACACATCGACAAAAAGGCATGTTAATTAATATAATATACTATTTCTATCTTTGAAATACCTAGAAAATTTTGTTAAATGGTTTTAGCCATGTACTCCACAACTACTGCTCGCTTTATTATGAAGTCTGCTTATCTAATTGACTGCTTTTTATGGATTCTACCGATGGAAGTCACAAAACGACAGCAATTCGATACTCTGTCACTTATATGTAAAAGTGAGATCAAAAGAATTGAAAGAAAAGATCGATAATATATATATTTTTTGAAATACTTTAGAGATAATAATATACTATCAAGCATTAATAAAACATTTAATCTCAAGTGGCCAACAGCCAATTTCAATACAAGACGGATAAAGAATAGCCTTTCAAAGCACAAATAGACTTATTAATATTTCTATAGATAACTATCACTACAATGTATTTACATTTCTGACTTCATATTCCGTTATTTCATAGAAATTTGATACCTTCCACAATACGTCTTTAATTATGCGCAACCGCAGCTAGCTCTTTATGTTTTCACAATGCTAAACGTCCTTTAAAATCCTACCTATACATACACTTTTAGCGCCAATTTGGAAACACATAAATATTTTTGCATGAATGACAAATAACGAGAAGCATATAATTTATTACAAATAGATATAATTTGAATTATTATGTAAAATCATAATATACAATATGCAATTTCATGCGCTTTGTACAATACTGAAGATTTAAAAAGAAAAATGAGACAAAATTATCCGAGTCATGCTTGAATCGGAAGTAAATTTGTCCGTGGTGGACTAGAGATGCGCCGTTTTCCAGTACGGTATACTGAAAACGGAGGACGCCGGGAAGGGGCGCGGAGTGGGGAAGGGGTGGGGGAAGGGGTGTGGGAAGGGATGGGGAAGGGGTGGGGGAAGGTGTGGGGATGGGGTGGGGGAAGGGGTGGGGAAGGGAAAAGACCTATATGGCCACTCCATGAGCCAAAACAACGTAATCGAAAATAACCAAAAGTTTTCCGTTGTCAAAATACAGGGGGCCTTGTAAGAAATAAAAATACACATAATACAAATTAAGGAATAGCACAGAGAAGTTTTAAATTGACCGCAAGGGGGTGATGGTAATTTTGGAATTACTTTTTTTAATTCTTAATAAGTTTAGCCTACTAAACCTATATACATGAGGCCAGCTAGCTTATCAAGTAAGGGATCAATCATCAGTGATCAGGTCAAACTGTGATGATACAACGCAGAGCACGAGCTTCTTCACCATTTTTTTGTTTACAAAAACAGGCAAGAAGACTAGTCTTCTTCAAAATTCTTTTCCACTTTCTCGCAGATGTCACGCAATTACAACCTCACACCTTCATGCAAGTAAAACCTCTCATAAAGATAACATTGTCTCTAAAAAATGAGACCGAATGAACAAACGCACGCTCACAAGTATATTCCATCTCAAAACCTGGCCTTGAATTGGTTGGTTGATTCCCTAACACTCATTCGGGACGTCATCATGACGTCATATAAGACAAGCTGCCGGCAGCTTAAATAATCATATATCGCTACATTGATACATAATGCTTTAGCTGTACAGCAGGGCTTAAAGAAAAATCATTTGTTTTTCATTTTAAAAAAATCATTTGTTTTTCATTTTTCCATCAATCTACAATAGTTTTCTACGCTACAAACAGGCCTTTCACTTCGCATGAAACATTTTTCGAGAGTGCAATTATACCAAATTTATCATTAATTTGTATACACTTACCACAAGGAATGTTAAAAGATGGAAAAAGTTTTAAACAATTACATGTTTTGATCTTTGTTTTTTACAAATCTGTTATAAAAATGACACCGAGACACCTTTAAAGACAGCCACTACACACTATAAGTTTAGAACTTGATTTAAATATCATTTGAATACAGCAATAAAATGGACACTGAAAATCATGAATTTTTAATAAGCAAAACGTTGGATAGCGACTTGATATAATTGACCATAAAAAACAATGAAACAACAATCATTCAGGATTATTTATTAAATTGATTGACTTGTCTAGAATTGGTGTTTTATACCACTATCCCCGTCCACATATATTTATTACATGTTATCATGCTTGAAATAAATTGATGATTGACTAATATTACAAAAAAATCCTATCTCTATGACTGCAAAATACCTATCGGGAGCAGATACGGCCGGAGTTCGAACCCTGGCCCGCTCAACTCGGGTTCAAGTGCTGCATCGACGAGATTTGGACCAATAATAGATAAAAGTCACGTGATGAAGAAAAAAACAACTTTCCTAAGATGATTCCTGAGTTCACTTCTTTCCTTCGTGGTGACCGTTGATACTGTGAAAAAGAGACACAAAATAATCCAATTGAATCCACGCACAAAACGATACAGTGATAACGCGGTCATATAAAAACTGATAAAATTGCAGAAATGAAGAACTGCTACTTTGTCAACTGATATAAATTGTATGCACCTCCCTACCACACCGTGCGGTGATCATTCCAAAGTTCGTGGTATCACAATGCGAATTTGAGAAATTCCCTGACAAAATATTTTGATGATTCAGTTTTCGAATTGTTCCCCACCCCCCACAAATCAGAATGAAAAATTTCCTTAAGCGGCAAAATTACGATCTGAAAATTTACATTACATTAAAGACATATTTAGAACTGCAAATTTGAAAACAATGTCATTTCTCCAGTTTTGACAGACACATCACAGTTTCCTCCTTAGCCAGATACTTACGCATTAGAGCGAGTGTCTTGCTCGGCGTCAAAATTCTTGTTCAATTCCTTGAGTTCCTCGTCGCTCATGAGGACTGTCGCTGTGATGGAACGACGACCCATCCGAGGCTGCTTCAACTGCATCAACTCCGAGGTGGGAGATGGTGGACGGTGCAGGTCGATATCCTGTGAATCATTGGTAAAAATCAACCACTGTCAACTTATGATCAACTAATTCCTACAAGATCATTGACTATCAACCAATGTCAACTAACAGGCCTATTGATGAACTATCCACTGTACAGAATGTTAGTTCAGGCAACGCCACACAAAAACTAGAACGGGCTCTTCGGGTTTGGTTAAAAGAGAGACTGCACTTTGCAGGCAAGATAGTTGATGATCAACCATTGTCAACTAATGTCCCTTTTGATGAAGAAGTATCCACTATACAGAATGTTAGTTCAGGCAGCGCCACACAAAAACTAGAATGGACTCTTTGCACGGTTTGGTTCTAAGAGAGACATTGTCAACTAATAGGCCTATTGATGAAGTATCCACTAAACAGAATGTTAGGTCAGGCAACCCTACACAAAACCAGAATGGGCTCTTTGCACGATTTGGTTCAAAGAGAGACTGCACTTTGCAAGCAAGATAATTGATAATCAACCAACGTCCACTAATTGATCATATCAACTTCAGAATGTTAGTTCAGTCAGTATCACACAAAGCCAGAATGACCCTTTGCACGGTTTGGTTCAAAGAGAGGCTAGATCGTGGATAAAAATCAACTAATGTCAACTGATTGATCAACCAATGTCAACTGATTGATCAACTTAACAATGTAAGTTCAGACTACACACAGCAAGAATGGGCGCTTTCAATGGTTAGGTTGAAAGAGGTTGCAAACCTTGGCCGCTTGAATGGCTTCTTACGTAACGGCTTAGAAAGCCACACGATAACGACACGAAAGAGTATTAGTTTTGCAAGCATAGCCCCACTTTTGTTCCAAAGCGGTAAATCCGTGCAAAAGCATGAATGCGCACTTCCGTTAATGGCTAACTTTAAAAAAATAGAGTGCAAGAGTGCAAACTCTGTCAAAAATGTCAGGTGATATCCCGTGATATTATTAAGATCATTTGAAGTCAGAGCATTGGCTCGATATTCACCTCTTAGTAATTTACAAAAACAAACAAACAAACTAACAAACAAACAAACAAACAAACAGCTACCCGTGCAGTCGTGGGCCAAAATCAAGTACATTGTTGTCATCGGTCATAACACGACATGGATCTTTGAAAGACAAGAAATCATGTGGGATATGCGATAAAAGTAACCCCTTCAGGTTTGGAAGAAAAAGAGTGTTGTGACTTTTCAATCAATGAAATATTTGAAAAAGGCAGAGAGATGCCTGCTTCACAAAACTTCATAACCACTCATTTAATATCTGAAATTACATCCCTCCACCGTGTGCAATGACGAAAAACACCATGCGTTTAGTCAAGTGTATATGTACCGTTTGCCAAACAACCAGAGACTATTAGAAATGATGAACAATTATTGTGAATGTTAGTATTGCGTGATCGTAGAACAGAAAGTGATTAATCGTGCATTTTGAAAAAGTTAAACTAATTCCATTTTCAAACTGAGCTACTCGAAGAAACGTGTGACATTCTCAATCGCTTACACTGATTTGAAAATTTGATCAAGTGATTCATGTTTAAGTGAGGTGATTCTATGCTATCAACTAAAATGTGTGGATCAAGAACTTCAACCAGCAACAAATCAAATACCCATCGTGGATGTTTCAGCCGAATCAACTTTGAGAATGGCCGTCGAATAATCAGATCCAAATCCTGATAATGATACGATAAATAAAACTTCAGAACATCATTCAGACTTAATCTAAACTAACCAATCAAACTCATACCAATAAAGGTACTTCAATATCAAACAGTTTATCCTAAGTGTGTTACTTTATAAAACGGTCAATTCCACAAGGTTCATAGCTATTTGACTTCTTTTTACCGCAAATATCAGAAAGGAGCAGTCGAGATATCACTACATAGAGTTTAAAATGAATGTAATTTTACAGTGATTGGGCTAGGCATAAATGTCATGTTGAAGAAATGTGTTCTTCTGTGAAAGGCATGGGTTGAAATTTTATTAATTTTAAAAGCTCGAAAAGGCAATTCGTTTTTTAAAAGTCATTTTGGACTGACGGCAAATACGCTCTCAAGGGTGAAAATGAGCCATAACGCCACAATGGACGGACCATCGAACGCCATTTGCCTGGTGCGCGCTGGTCTGCTCAGAACTCTTGACGAGCTGGGTTAGACAACGCCCTCTTCTGTTGAAACTCACCGTCTTGTTCCTGACGTCTTCCATGGATTTGGTATGCACAGCGTTCTTGGTTCCCACCACTCCGTTATCGTTCATCTTGATAGCCGGGGTCAGTTTGCTGTCGGCTCCCGTGATGAAGACCTGGGCACGTCTCATGGCTGATCGAACTTTGTTCTGGACTTCTTCTGTGCGGAGGGTGACGCCAAAGATGTCCTCGTGGTAACGATTCTGATCCTTGGAAAATAATTGGAAAGGAAGACTTCATGATAAATGTAATAGTGCAATAGCACTATGGTGTTACCGAAAATCAAATCCGAATCATTACTGAAATAAAATGGCATTATCATAATAATGTTGCATTCTTAACACGAAAAATCTTTAAAAAAAATTCCCTCATCAGATCAAAATAAACGCTTTCTGATTAAGTTAGATAAAGATCAATAGAGGCTGTCTTTGATCCCATAGACCAATCTGGGCACGCTTACAATTCTATCACGAAGGCCCCCTTCAATGGCGAAAACATTGTGCTAGAGCTATTGTTCAGATAAACCGCCACGGAGCAGTTACTTTGTACAATAGCATGCACAATGGTTTCTCCATTGAAGGGGGCCGCGTTAGTGTACAGTGATCTATACCTACCCTCATAGCGATGACGTAATTCTTGGCTTCCTCGATGCTCATTTTGCCGTGTTCCGATGCAATCGACTCCAATGTATTACAAACATCGGCTGCCATGGAAACGTCCCCACAGACATAGAAATGGCCATTCTTCTCTTGGATCGATTTGAATACCTCCTTGCCCCGATTCTTCAGGATGTGCTGAACATATGTCTGAGCGAGAGATTAAGAGGAATTTGAAGATACTGACAAGATACAAATTGAAAACTGGTACGGTGGTCCACACATGACAAGTTCGATTCCTAGATCAGTCAATATTTCTCTCTTAAAAATCGATTAAAGTTTAACCCTATAATCCTTCTCACCCGAGGTTGGTTCGATTGTTTGATATTAAACACTTTAGTGTCCGAGTGATCTCCGGCTGTCGATTTCAAATTTTATTATTGATTTTTGCAGTAAAGTAATAATTTACAAGCAAAATGGGCAACATGTGGTCAAGAGCAAAATACCAGCTCGAATTTGGGACGCACCAGTCGGACAAAATTAAGATTAAACTTTCGTATAGGATCAAGTTGACATATTGTAAAAACCAACTTATGAATGTAAATGACTTAAAAAATGGTCGTTACCTTAGGTTTTCCTTTTTCTCTTGACAGCGCGGTCAGGACTTCCTTGAGGGCACCCTCCTTGACACCCTCAGACGTCTCAGACTTATACAGATCGTCCAGGTTGGACTGCCTGCAGCCGAACACCAACGTCATGTCACCGAAGGAGTTTCTCCCGACATCCTTCGCCATGCGCATGTCTATTTGTCGTTGCTGCCAGAAGCTGCGGAACGGAGCTATGCCTGTTCCGGGGCCAACCATGATCAGCGGATCGGAGCGTTCTTCGGGCAGGTGGAAGTTTGGCGCCCTGGAACGAGCACAAGAAAAATAGCTTGTAGTTAATAAGTTTACATCAAACATGACACGTTATGCTGTACAAGTCTATTAAAATTGCACTTGTCGAAATGTCCAGCTATTTCGCATGAGGAATTTACAGGACCAAATCTACTAAAGAATAAAAAAGATTTGTTCTAGTTCTAGAACGGAACTTACGTCCTGATGAAGGCTGGAATCTCTGCTCCAATCTTGATTGTATTGAGCCAGGACGAGCAGACACCATGATGCAACGGTCCTTCACCACCTGTTCAATCAAACCAACTAATTAACAAAAGCCCAAGGTGGAAAGGGGGACACTTAGTGAAGTGAACAAATTTTAATCAGTTTTAAGGCAACTATTTCTGAAGGCATCATTCCACGTAATGTGAATTCCGTAAAAAATATATAAATAAACTTGAACAAACAGTAATGTTCACAAAAAATATATTATTGGTGAACAAAAGCTGCAAGATGGACCTATTATAATTTATTGAAGAGAAAACTAGAAGTTAATTCCTGTCATTCCTAAATGTTCTCTTTTGAGAGAAATAAACAGTGTGCTGCAAATATTATAGAGTTACTCAGAATGATTCTAAACATAATTATTGAACACTAAGGAGTGCCCTCGTTTGGGGCTCAGTTAGGAGTGAATGACTTGAGTATCTGGCCGTCTAGATGACAACTCAACTTCCAAGGATATTTTTTCAACAGAAATCTTGAGTGATTGCTTCGTAATTTACCCCGCGTTCGGTAATTGACCACAGCCACCGTGGCGTGGATTTCACCAGGATACATCCGGGTACTTGAGCTGATGGAATAGAAGCGCGCCTTGAGCACTGGCAGCTCCGTCAGGAGGAACGCTGCGGGGGGTCTGGCGGACGGGAACTCCTCAAGAACCTCGGCCAAGTTAGGGCTCAGATCAAACTTCCATTCCTCGTAGCTGCGCGTGTCCTGAAATACAACAAAGTAAGCTAGCATCTTGTGGTATACTTCTTTGAAACTATTCCTGGGTGGGTGGATTACAAAAGTAGTGTCTGGCACATTTTTAAGGAAACTTAAACAATGTTTCTTAAATACTTACCAAGAGCTGGGCGAGATAACTGTAATCTCGATAACCCTACAAGATATTTTATGCAAACACCGAAAATGTATAGTCTTCTATTTTAGAATCTTATTGTCTTATTTATCATGTTCGTTCATGTGTTTGTTGGCTGTTGGGTTGTTTGTTTGTTTGGTTGGTTTTTGATTTTTGGCCTTGAAATAACCTGCTTCATATCAGTAGTATTTCTGTCAAAATGTAGACATAAATTTATTCAAATTGTATTGCTGCTAAAATTTAAATAGACGTGTGAAACTTGTAAAATCCAATAGATGCAGAAGTGTACAGACACATTCGAACTCATGACACCTGCTTTCGTGCAAGCTTAAATTAATTCCGTATAACTGTATTGTGTTTTGAAAGTGCAAACTTTTCTCTTCAGGTGGCTTACTACTTTGATTGATTGAAATCCACAAATTGATCTTACTTTGCTGAGCACTTCCAGAGTTTTCTTCTCTTTCTCGTTGGTTGCCATGGCAGCCAGCTGACGTAAGAAGTTGGGTGATGGCGGCATAGTTACATCCAGGTATTGCTCCAGAGCGACTCGCAGCGAGCAGAGTGGGATCCGATCAGTGGGAATCCAGGCTTTCATTACACCTGTCGCAAATCAATCAATAAATCAATTAAAGAATCGATAAATCAATAAACCAATAATCGGTAATCGATATTTAAAGATCATCATAATATATATTGCATCGTATATATTACAGAGTCACAACGTCTGAATGTTTGCAGAGGCCTACATTATGCTTATTGGAAAATAATCAATCAATTGATCAATTAATGAATCGATTAATCAACAAACCAATAATTGGTAATCAAATATTTCAAGATCATCATAACATAAATTGCATCGTATAATATATTGCATCATAATAGTCACAACATTTGAAAAATGCCAAACTAAATTACTTAAATCTTCACTTGCTTTGAAATGTGCCTATTATGCCAAATTGTTAACTAATCTGCTTCCAAAACGAAAATATTTTTAAATCTTTAATAATGTAGTTCTGAAAAATCGGAAACCTGAAAATTTTTGACTTACCAAGGGGCGTTTGTTTGACGTGCATAAACTCCACTTTGATGACGTCATCGGGTGACTTCTCGCCAATGTCGACTCGTTTGATAATCCGGTCCACCAGGTTTGTCTCGTTGCCAGGGCAAATGGCCACGTGATCTCCGGGGTCATAGAGCAACTCAGACGCTCCTTGGGTATCCATGTGAGTGAGAATAGTGGAACGACTGGAGAGAAGAAACAGAAGAGCAAGTATTGAAAAATATTTATAACAAAGTGAAGAGGAAAACGTGCACGTATCATCTCAAACTATGCAATACAAAAGGAAAGCTTTGTCAGTTTCTGTAGCCTATTAGGTTGTGAAGTTTGTGTTACATTACCAAAATACTATTATTAGTTTAGAGATGTGTTTATAATAATAATAATAATATAATAATAACGGAAATTTATACCGCGCCATTATCCGCCGTAAATGACGCTCATGGCGGAAACAAAATTATATCAAATCAGAAATAACAAAACAATTAAATTTAACTAAACAAGAATATTCTGAGTGGTCTGAAACAAATAGGTCTTTAGGGCAACTTTAAATTCAGAAAGCGATGAGATGTTGCGAATGGCGAGGGGTAGTTTGTTCCAAAGATGAGGACCTGCGTGAGAAAATGATCGATCACCCCAAGATTTGTGAGTGTGAGGGACAACCAGCAAAGAAGCATCAGAAGATCTCAATCGCCTGGATGGATTATATGGAGTTAATAGGTCTATGTTGTATTCAGGAGCTGAATCATGAAGGCAATGAAAAACAAGCAGTAACAGTTTGTACTTAATCCGGTCAGCAACAGGGAGCCAATGCAGAGACTGCAAAATCGGGGTGATTTGGGTTCTAGAGGGTGTCAGGGTCACAATTCGAGCGGCAGAATTTTGGAGTTTTTGTAGGCGAGCAAGTTGGTTACGGGGTAGCTGATACAACAGGGAATTACAAAAATCCAACCGAGATGAAATGAGGGCGTGAACAAGTTTCTCTGTTGCTGAGCGGGTTAGATACTTCCGAATTAAACCCAAGTTACGAAGTTGAAATCTGACAGATTTACATGTATTAGAAACATGATGAGACATTGACATAAGTGAGTCAAAGGTGACTCCCAGATTTCGACAGGTCGCCGACAAGTTAACAGGTGAATTTTGGATGTTGATACCATGGACATTGATCTTAGCAAGTTGTGACTTTGACCCAAACATAATAAGGCCTTCTTACGTGGATTCCGGTGCTTGCAGGTTCTTCCTAGCCAGGAGGATGCAAGGAAGGACCTTCTTTCCATGCAGCTTGGACAGACCTTCGCATCTCTCCACCGCCGGATGAGCGTCTTCAAGACTGACACGGAACTTATCAGCTGTCCATGATTGGTCGTTCTCCATCAGAGAGGCGTTGGCTTCGGTCATGTTGATGCCCTCACCGACACAGAATGTATCACACGCTTGCTGATAAGGTGAACAGAATAACGACATTGAATGGGGAGTTTCAGAAACCACAGTTTCATCTCCGTGTTTGCCTCCATCTCCGGCTCCAGCTCCATTGCCAGACTGCAAGCTAGAAACCGGAGATTGAATGAAGCCGTAGTTTGGAACACTTATAAATGCTTCCTAACTTTCTAAACAGCGACGTTGATAAGACGTTTACAATGTTAACGGAATGTGTTTAACTTTTTTTATGAAAGTAAAATTTCAGTTATACAGGTCAAACTGGCTGTTTTGACATAGATATCTGCATAAAGATTCGGGCTCAAAAGTTAACCCAGGCCTTTTACTATAGTATATTGCGGCTCTTCCTAAACGTGCAAAATATTTCTAAAGTGTTGCATAAGGCGTTTGTAATGTGTGTAAAAGTTAAACACTAGGTTTTACACTGTTAATGGGTCTTTGTTAAAAGAAGACGGTAGAAGGCCTAAGCTCGGCTTGAAAAATGGAACCACTAAGTAGGAAATTTGGGTTCGAATCCCACATACGTATGCACGTGGTTTTTCACTTCTCAATTCGGGCGATTCACAATGCAGTGCGCCACCAAGAGTTTGCCACGGAGAGTTCATTTTTACCAGTGCATTGTGGGATATGGTCGACAACTTCACAGCGCGGGACATTTGAAATTGTTAGTTTTCCGGCCAGAAAGTTCGTAAGCGTATGATTCGCGTATCTGTTTGCCCTTTTCTTTTCGTTTAATCAATATGGAGTTTTTTTGTAAGGCGGCAGAACGCTCAAGTTAGCTCAAGTTTTCTACTGACACTCGTTCAAATGGGCCATGTTTTGTCGACCGTGACCTTGAAAAACGAACTCTCCGTGGCAAAGTCTTGGTGGCGCACTGCATTTGGTTGAATCGCCCGAATTCTAGATAAAAACGTGTGGTACTCACAAAACAACTTAAAAGGGGTTTGTTAAACTGAAATTTGAATTCTAGTTGTGAATAAAACAAACATATTTCCTCGTAGGGAGGCATTACTTAATATACCAATCTTAATAGGCCTTGTTAATCTTTATCGAATGAGGGCGCGCTGTAATGGCGCCATTTTGGGTGTACAAAAAGTAAAACCCAGGCAATGACGCAAGTTCACAAGTTGTTACAACTGAGAACTTGCATTTTAACATTCTTTAATTTTTAGACTGAAATTGCTAAATTGCTTCAATAAATAATGATATCTGTACTGCTTGTACCTAGACAATTGCTCAAAAGTTTGGCCCATTCAAAACAAATTTCGTATGTCAATCAAGGAGACATTCCAGCCCATCATCTTAAGTAGATCGGATGAGGATTGCATCACCTTGAAGACTTCTTGAGCCCATTTACGATAAGACTCCTCCTGTCCGCTCAGCTCGTCTCCCTCCCCCATATCCATGATCCTCTCCCCGCCCAGATTGCCCAGTAAGGTATCGGCAGCACGGGCGTAGGCGCAGAAATTGGGATAAGCCGTGGAGCCTAGCCCAAAGACGGCAAACCTGCAAGGCAATTCATCGAAATTGTTATTTTATCAAATTTCACTTATATTAAAACGGGAAGTGTAAAGCGTACAAGATTACAATAAATCCACGAACGGCATATTTATCACTTTGAATTCTTAAATCAATGATTGAAATATGATAGATTAAGAACGATGAATGAGTGTTACAGCACGATGTTATTTTTAGGTTTAAAAACAGTTACTCTTGATTGCCTAAATCTCTTCTTTGCATGGGGATCGAAGTAAATAACTGCATTCAAACTTATTGTGATTCCTTTTTAAATTATTTATATTGTTTAAATTGTTGAATGTGAGTGTTGTCTCGTTAGCCGTGATTGTAATAACCAATACTGACCTATATAAAAATAACCTTTAACTAATAACCAATAACCAATAATAAATTACCAATAACCAATAATCAATAACCAATAATCAATAACGCACAACCAATAACCAATAATCAATAACCTCACAATACACTTTATTGTAATTTATAATTATAAGTTCAAACTTGATGATTATTTGAATTTAGGGTAAAATTGAGCGTATGATGAAGTAAACTGCTAATTTAGCACTTCTTTCCCCAACATACCTGACATTGGCAAGAACACCCGAACTCTCGCTCAGGTTGGATTGTCCAGCGACTCGCTGACTTGGCGTTGAGGGCGCTGCAAAGTATTTATCGAAACGGAGTGCGCGACTGTGCGGGGGAAAAATATGACACGGTGTCCGAAATCATCGCAGAATATACAGTATTTTTTAAACTCCTTTTTGAGAGGAAAATAGAAACAGATATGGATAATATTCTAAGCAAGTAAGATGACATTTGAAATGTTACAAAACACCGTCAAGTGACTTATATTCTTAGGCCTACCTTTCTGATTGGTCACCGCTGGAATCACGAGCAAGATCCATCAGATAGCGACCAAATTCCTGAGGAATTAAAGTCAGACAGTTTTGTTAATACCAAACCAAGACTTTACATTGAAAGGTATGTACAATAAATTGGTTGACAAACTTTTCTGGATGGATAATGAATAATTTCGATTCCTCGATCGCCATGTTTCATGGAAGCAGCCAGATACCACACACTTCAACAAAAGCTCTTTGTTAATTTTTTTTTTAAATCTGTACTTTGATACTGGAGGAAAACAGGTAGCAAACACCACCAGTATGCAGTGTAACTGAATTAACAGCATGTGCTATCATGCATTTTCAGTGTCTTATCAACTACGAAATTTTAACAGATTTTCTTCAGCAGAACATTTTCCTTGTTTTTAGACCTGTTCGCCTTTAATGTGATTTATCCTTCAAATGTTGCCAAGACGCATCTACCTACCTCTCCATTTTCAGGAGCGTCTCCGTTACCGAACGTACTGGTGACAAGCAGCAGCAGTGTCTCGTGCTCAAGATGGACTACGTCATATTCCTCCATACACATCACCTAAAATTCAACCGAAAACAAACAATCAACAGTAAATGGAATTTGAAAAGTTAAAGAATTTAATCCCAACAAACACGTGGATCGAGACGGTAATTCAGAACATCCTTATAACATACAAAATTTGACATGAGCTTTTTTTCACACGACATCAAAAGCTCGCAATGCTTGAGAAATTTCCTCGAGCTTGTGAAATCTTACAAACATGGAATCGTGTGAAAGGACACCATGCTAGAAAATGACAAACATCCCTGGCGAATCTCCACAAGGTGTTCACAAAATAGATATATGGATTTTACTCAAAAACTAGGAATTTCCAAGGCATGTTGATCCGTCGCAAATGGTAGAGTTTTAGAAAAGGGATATTAAGTCCGAATTTCAGCCAAGGAAATTAATTCTGGTTAAAATAAGAGCATTTTGAAACTGTACTTTCAAACTCGAAAACTTCAGTACACGAGAACAAAGAAATGTCTCCACAAGGAAACAAATTTCAGTATTGTCTGTTTACACAGTAAAACAAACCTTAGCATCGAATGCGTGTTTGAAGATCTCACACAGTGACTTGGCGTATTTCTCCGATCGTCCTGTCTCTGTAGCGTACAGGATAGTCGCTTTGAAGCGTTTGGCCAGCGCTTTACCCATCAACTTGGCCGAGAACTTTACAGCCCTAGTAGCGAAAGGAGACAAATCAGATGGGCAGAATTTTGTAAGAGCTACAGAGCCAGAGAATTCAGGACTGATGAAATAAAGTTATAGAAAATATTTTTTATGAAGTAATAGAGAGAGCTAGCAGATCGTTGAAAGGACCGATACATTAATTTCACAATTTGTATCAGGGTCATTGTATCAATTTAGCGTCCAAAGTGTGACATTTTTCCTGTCCCTGTTACCTTGGTACTTTGTAATTTGCCATTCAAGTTTCATTAAGAATGTCTTTAAATTACTTATTTATTTGTTTGGTAGGTAGTCTGCTTTTCATATTCACTATTGGAGGATGAATGCATTAAGGAGTGCATCAGAATTATAAAATCATAAATGTCTAATGTAACAAGGACAGGAAAAAGTGCACCCCAAATTTATAGAATGACCCATAAAACAATTTATTGCTCTGAAATGGATGAAAACATTGGGACGAAATTCTTAGAAATTCCAATACAAAGATAGGTAAAATGAATGTAATTTGAGCACAAAATTATAAGGATTCCAATAAAAAGGCTATGTGATCTGCAATGAATCAACAATGAAGATGTGCCTCTCTTTGTCAACACCTGATGGTAACTTGAGTGATTCGATGAATGCTTTCAAATGGAAGAAGATACGGGACAACCACCTGCTATTCCGACCATTATAATTGATTGGTTCTAGGGTTATTCCACGGGAAGATGTAACTTACTTGGCCACCTCCTTGAAGGTTCGTCTCCGTCTTCGAGTCTTCTGCGCATCAGCTGATACATCTTTTACTTTCCAGACATAGTTGGTCCATGCAGCATCCTTGTAGAAATAAAGAATACAATACAATGATTGCATCTGATGATAAGTAGTTATTGTTCCGAAATCTAAATCTTTCTTACGCAAAGTGCCTTTAGAACCTGTTACTCATTATAGATATATAATTAAATAAAACAATGTACCATAACGCCTGGCAAAAGGTGCTCCGGAATATATCAATTCGTATTACTGAAGTATGATACTAAAGAAAATTTCAATGAACTACATTTTAATTATAATATCACATATCTTGTAATATATTAGGTAAAAAAAATTTTTGTATACTTTCTGTAATAATTTTCTGTATTTCCAACTTTAATTTCTATAGCTTTTCCTATTTTAGTTCATAAAATCCACTTTGTAGTTTCCCCCTTTTTTTAGTTGTTAACATACAAATTAATATAAAAGCTAAAATATGTAAACATGTGGCTTTTTAATGTTGTTAATACTTTTAAGCTTCCAATCCCCAAATTTGACTTTTTATTTTCTAAATACATTTTCGAAAACGGCAGTTAATATTTGCTTGCATCGTTTCATTTCATTGTTCGTTATCTTTCATTACCTGGTACTCGTAGGATGGCTTCAGTTGGTAGTTCAACATCTCTTGATGAAACACGGGGGTGATACTCCCAGAAATAGGCGGGACGACCCAGACCCAGTCAGCGGGGCAGCCCCCGCGCAGGCGCTGTTCGTTCTCCATGTGTTTCACAAAGGATTCGGCGGCCGAATGGTGGTCGGTGATTGTCACATTATTTTTCTGTGAGAAAGTCAAAAGAATTTAGTAGAAGGGTGGATTGGAATGAAATAATAGGAATTGAAATTTCACAGATGCTCTGAAAAAAAATGTAAATTGTATTATTTACGGTCCAAGTTTTGGAGCCCCAACAGCAAAGAAATTTGTTCAGCACAAAAAAAACCTTTGCTTTGCAAAAACAGATTACCAACCAAATTTAACAGATAACGAACCAAACAGATTACCAACCAAAAAGATTACCAACCAAACAAATTACCAACCAAACAGATTACCAACCAAACACATAACCAACCAAACAGATTACCAACCAAACAGATTACCAACCAAACAGATTACCAACCAAACAGATTACCAAGCACAATGTAATGCGTTGAAAATGTATTGTCGCTGGTTCTCATATATTTTTTTTGCGTAGGAAATGAATTAGTATAGACTGTTTGCTCAGCAGCACCATGAGATTAAGGCCTGTCTTGAAGCAAGCAAAATCACTCAAAAGCAAAGCACGTGACACACAGAAAATTAAGCTGACCTGCTAACATTGAAGAATTGAAATTATATAATTGACTTTTTGAACGACGCAACAAGACTATACTGAGTTTAAGAATACATTTTTAAGACTTAAAATTTATGAGTTTTACCTGGTAGCTGAAGATCACAGCAACGTTGGCTTCCACTAATGCCTGATCTTTCCAAAGCGAGGCGTTGCTATTGGTATCCAGTCCCATCTTTTTACCGATCGTCTGCAAAAGTGAAAAAAAGGCGGGAAAATTCCATTTCAAATTTTTGTGAACACAAGCGGATAAGAACGGCTGGAATGAAGACCAAAATACTTGAAATGTTGTTATTTAGGTCGTCAAGACTGTTCTTAGTCTAATAACAAAGGTCGAAATTGTCATTAACTTGGTCATAGTGCCAAAGACTGTCATTAACTTAGTTACAGAGGTCAAGATAGCCCTTAACCTGGTTAAAGCGTTCAAAATGTTCATTAACTTAGTAAGCGTGCTCAGGATTGTCATTTGCAAATTCCTGCAATGTTCAAAATTAATTTTGTTTAAGTTCGTCATTTGGAGAATACAAAGTCCAGATTGCGTTATGTTTGAATGTGTATTTATTAATTTCGTTTTAAAATAAAAAAGAAAGAATGACTGGGTTACAACAATTATAACTAAATTATTAAAACAAATCTAAATAATGTTTAGAAAACAGTTTGAAATTATTGTCAAGAAAAACAAATTTGAAATATCCATGAAGAATAAGGAGTTATATTTAAAGAACGAGAATTAAATTGCTAACCTAAAAGACGAGAAATTCTGGAAATTAAACCAGATTAAAGGCATACAGGATCATTTGCTTTTCATAATTGTTTTCGTTTCTAATTATAATAATACCACCACAATCCAAAGAAGAATGTTCAAAACCTAATCGGTCGTACTTTCAATTCAGTTGATGATACAATTTTCGAGAAAACAGTGAAAACCATGCACGACCAATTTTGATCACGAAACACGATTTCTTCAATAGCACTCTTTATTTCCGAAAATCAGTCAATTAAGTGATCGTCACAAAATCACCTACACTTCTTGATTTTCTTCTACATGACAGCAAGCCAGACGAAATAATTTCACGGGGTGTTTAGTACCAGTACGGTCTTCAATCCAAGTAAGCTTTTTGATAGTAATTCGATAGGTAACTTGGGGATAAATACAAATGATCATGTATGCCTTAAACTAGATTAAGGTACCACAAGACCATTATTAAGATAATAAAAAGAATAAGCTACTCAATGTGTTTTCTTATTTGCTGAAAAAAAAAAAATTAGAATCAGACGTATTTGTTTTACCTCCAAAAGATTCAGTCGGTTGGAATCACAGATGTCTCGAGCACCGATCTCGGTCACCATGTACCATCCATTGAAAGGACAAGCTGTGAATTCCAGGCCGCCTAGATCCAGCATCAATGACGACACAGCAGGCAGAGCATACCACTTGAGACCCAGCTCAGCAAACCAATCATATCTACAACAAACAATGGCTTGTTTATTTCAGTGCTACAATAAAATCGGGAGTGCAGAACCAATAATCAGGTAAAAATGCTTTGAAAGTTTTGTTAAAACACAAACATGAGTATCAGTAATAATTTAGAGAAACTGTGGTCGTGACTCAATAAAATCATACTGCGTTATTCTAAATAAATTGCAATGCTTATATAGCACTTTCCATCGTATAAACAATCTCAAAGCACTTTACGATAATTATTACCCCGTTCATCAGGCCATACCACGCGGCAGCCGATATCAGCGCTCAATCGCTCCTCGACCCTTACAGGTACCCATTCATACTCCTGGGTGGAGAGAGGCAACTGTAGTTGAGTGTCTTGCCCAAGGGAACAAACACCATGTTCCTGGCAGGGTTCGAACCCACGCACCATCGTACATGAGTCAAACCACTGAACCTTGGCATTCTAGTTGACAATCGCCCAATTTTTCGGCGATATTCCAGTAGTCAACTCTTTTATTTTCCCCCGCACTTTCAGTAATTCGAGTCACGCTAATCTCTGCGTAATTCCAGTAGCTGCAATCTGTACGTGCCTCTGGCTGCGTAATTCCAGTAGCTAAGTAAAGGGTTTTTGGTCAATACATGTAATTGGTACTGGTTCGGCGCCAATTTTGTTTAATAGTGCTGATAAGTACAACAATTGTATGCAAACGCAACCACTATCATGGACAATGCTACTTTCTGCTTTCTGCAAATGTCTACTTTCTGGGTTTTTTTGTCAAAACAGGAACGTGAAGGAAAAGTAATGCGCAAACGTTTGACAGCCTTCGCAGTCAATACGATCAAGATAGAAAAAAAAACCTGTTTAATATATTTAAACATGTTGGTGTCTAAATAAAACCGGTGGTGTACAATTTCACACTTGTGGCCCTAAATAAATACTTTTGCAGTGTGGGATTCTATATTCCGCTGACAGATTAAGCACTTCAAGAATAATTTGGTCCTAGTATTTTTTTTCCCTGAGTGAGTCAACAGCAAGTTTCCTTTGTTCATAAACTTAAAAGGATATTTCGATCTGGTTAACTCCTTTTTTTAAAATAGATTCATGGTAACATAAATGGTTCAGAGATAACAAGATGAAAAGAAATACTTCAAAGTTACTTCAATAGTGACTCACCAAGAATCAATCAATTAAAGAATGATCAATAGTTGGGAACAGGTGTTACCAAAGCTATTAAAAATATCATTGTCTGTTTTCTAGCAGAGCCAAATATATATATTTTATTCACCAAAAAGCAAACACAGCAAACGAAAATTGAAATGTACGGTAATTTCTTTGATCGACAATTCATTCGCTGTATTCTTCTGTGAGGAATTTAATTATTTTTCGTTGGATGAACAAACAGTACTTGCTCAGCGGGCAGTGGTTCTGTCGGAAGCACAAAAAACTCGGTTATGTAAAGTATGCAAGGCAAGTCATAACTTGAACAAAAAAATATGGATTTGTCCAGATGCAATTTCTTCTATTGTTCGGTCTGTTTATTCCGTTAAGATGAGTAAACTAATTCGGCGCAGTACGGATGTTATCCAACAACTTGTTCCATTCACAAGAACCTCTTGAAAGTGCTTGACACTTCAGAATTTCTTCAACCAATTCCCACATGGAGGATTCTTCTTATTAAACGCCCGTGGAGCCGCCCCGCATGCCCTCATTACCTTCCCCTTCATGTTGATTGAACTGCAAGAACAGACATCTCAATGCCGTTGTAGATTTTTAATTAAGGTTCGTGCTGGTTCTTCCGCCACTCTAGCTCAAGCTGGGCAAATGAAGGCCCCTCGCGCCGGCTAGCTGCGATCAGATCGGCCAAAAGCGATCAGAAAAAAACAGCTAACACGAACCGGCATATTTTTTTCCTTCTACACTCTAAAAACAACTTAGTCAAAATATTGACTGGTTTTCCTAGTAATTGAAAATTGACTAGGAATTTAGTTAAACATGCAAAGTTTCATACTTTGACTGGAAAAAAATAGTTGGGTTCGACTCCAATTTCAGTTACTTGCATAACTATTTTTCCAAAGTCAATAATAGTGACTGGAAAAATCTATTCAGATTTACTGATTTTCAGTTGCACCCAGCTGACCCTGAATGGCTAGTCAAATTTGACTGGTTTCTAGTCAAATCTGACTAATGCTTTTTTAGAGTGTAATGAATCGCTCATGTGAGAAAGTTTGCGGGTAGTTTCCCTGACAACAGCACCAACTAAAATTAATGGACCGCCTTCAGGATTTCCGTGTTTAAACACATTTTGAGATATAAAAGAGTGACGTTAAGAAAAGAATAATGATGTCACATTTTGGTCTGGTGAATAAACAAACAGACAGAGTTTCATTTCAGGATTGAGATGTTATCTATAGAATTGAAATTTGGAATGAGAAGGAATTCAGTTGATTGGGGAAAAAAATCACTTTACACCATACATGTTGCTTAGTTTGAAATTTAGCAATTCAGAAGCCACAATGCACGTGAAGTTGAAATGGAAATACAAAAATCTTGAAAATGCCAAGAAAAGACGGAACAAAGTCTTAAAATTTGTGTACGCCAAGATAACGGCCACTTTTGCTTCACGGATCAACTAGTAAAAATCGAGGTTGCTGATCTACATTAATGTATATCTGATCATAGCCACTAGACCAAAAACTTTGTACCGGCTCCTTGCATTGCACTATCCGTACGGGATAGCCACAACAGGCGTTTTTATAGAACCAAACACATGCAGATGCAGATTTTGCCCGGTACTCAAAGGCCAAAATTGATATACTAAATGTGTATAGAGGCCAATCGTGGCCGCGTGCTGAACGCCAACACATGTAGAGAGATATGGGCTAAGAAAGATGGACTCGCAGATCAACACATGGTATGCAACAATGCACTATAGTGATATGGTAAAAGCCAAGATGAACGCAACCCAAGCCAAAGGCGTGGTAACAGCCAAATATGTCATATTTTGAGCGAATGGGGTGGGGGGGGGGACTGTCGCATGGCCATTTTGGGGTACAAACGTACGTCACATCCCATGTTATTGACGTGCCTTTATGTATGCTTCTGTGATTCACAAGTGACGTGTTTACAATCTTTGGGTGTTTTTTTTTAGCTTGAACTAAAGCTGCTTAACTGCCTCAATAAACGTGATATTTCTACTGGTTGTGGAATCGTTATCGCGCCCCCTATTGCTCAAAAATAAGGCCAAATAGTTCATGCCGATAATGCGCGTCCGGCATTTAAAAGACTTCACTCAAGTCGGATTCAAGTCGATATCCGCAACACCTGCTGCCATCACAACCGGCATTCTGCACACTGCACAGATCAAGTGAAATCCAGACTTGGCCAAGCCTAGGCATCCAACAGATTCAAAGACGTGGGTTTCAATATCCCCAGAAAACGACAGTGTGCTAATTTATTATAGGAAATAATGTCATAACTCTTTCGTACAATATTGACCTTGTACGTAGCGGCCATCTTAGTGGGACATGCTTTGTGCCTTTCATGCATTGATTGTTACTAACTTAAAACAACAAAGAAACACCCAATAAGATGGCAGCCCCCATAAGGTATGTACCGGATGAGTTGATACACAGCAGATCTTTTTAAATCCTAAGTCAATTAATTCGCAGTTATTGCACAGTCTTCAACATGAACATACGGTTTCAGTTCCGTCGTAAGCCAAAGACGAACCAGTCCTACGGCCAAGCTATCTTTCTATCATTTTAAAACGTGGCCCACTGTGAGCACACTGTGACGTCATGACAACCCAGGTCAATAGAGAGGAGATACTCACTTAGGGTGTTGGAGTTGGACTTCCAGCACCAGGCCCGGAGGGATGTTGAAGAGTTCAGGTTCTTCACCATTCGCTTGGAGCACCAGAGGAAGGACATCAAAACGGCCCTGCTTCTCTGGACGCCAGCCTAACTTCTCCATGACCACCTGTACAGTCAAACAACTTAAACAATTAATCACTTACTTATAAAAAGACTAGGCAGTAAAGCTGGTAAGAGGTTAAGGTAGTCCCCTGAGTCGGATTCATGGGCAGAGGTGAGGCTTACACAAGTCTAATTCACAAGTGACAGACAGTGATGAGTCAGTCAGTCAGTTAGTGAGATAGGTACAATGACGATTAGAACCTCTCTGGGACTGACAATAAAATAAGTCGATTTTTGAAAAAGTTATTTCACCATACGATACCAACAGGTCGTACGGCTTCGTATGATACAAGTGCAATGGCACTGGTGTTCATCGAAGTAATATTCGACAGAGGGAAGCAAGAATAAGACAGAGCCAAAACCTTCATACGACACTGACAAGGACCATAGTTTTCACGAGGGAAGCTTGATGCAAAATAATGTTCTCCACCCCCCAAAAAAGAAAGAACAAAGATCCCTGAATTGGGAAGATTGTTTGATGGTGACACCAGCGGTGTAGCAAAGGTTCTCAGCCTGGGGGGGGGGGGGGGGGGGGGCTGGATGTTACAGTGGGGCGCCCAATTTCTGTTCAACCGTTAACCATGGTCACTTAATATAGGACTAAAAAAATTCAGGGGAGGGGGCAACGAGAGTTGGGGGCAACGGGGGGGGGGGGGGGGGACGGGGGGAAGCGGGGGCGACGTTTTTTATGGGGACGCCGTTGGGTGACGTCCGACGAAATCCAAGAGAAAGATCATCACAGACAGTCTAAGCAAGAGGCAGTTTAATCGGTTCATCACAAATGTTCTTTGTAGGAGTTGTGACTTTTTGCAAACACTATTAGGCGATCTTTTGAGCTCAGAAAAATCTAAAAACCACTTTCCGACCAAGTCCTTTTGTGTATTTGGTGCTAATTTTGTCCATCCAATGTGATACGTGTCCATCCAAAAGTTTCAACTTTTAAATCTGGTTATACCTCAGTGAATTCGACGTTAGCCGGGTCACCAATAATAGAGCCGTCTGGCTGTTTGTAGCCACCGTACGATACCAGCTGTGGGTTCCAGACTCGGAAGTCATGTTGGCCATCGGAGCGATGTGGGAATATGGTGATGGCGGATCTGTCCACAGGGAAACAAAAGCAAAGATTTAACACACAAAACTCTCTGTGGTATTGACAAACATGTGATGATGTGGCACGTCACATAACACTCAAGAAAATGTGCATTGTTTGGCGAGAAAGAGCAACAAACATACCGGGTTCAGAGCGGGAAAACACCTGTTTTTTTCTAAAGGGTGACAAACAAATACAGAGCAGATTGTACGGCGCTGCTTAATGCGAAAAAAACCTAAGTAGGCCTACAGAAAATACTTTACTCAGCAGAAGTACAAGTTAATAGGCCTACAAGCCAAAATGTCATGTAATGTGGAACATATTTCTTTTGAATGGATTTTAGCAAGTTTTACTTAGCACTTTAACATTCTAAACAGGATTCTGGTTTGAAGCCACCTGAAATTGGGCTCCATCAGTCAGAAGAAAATGATTAAACCTTTGCCCATGTGATTTAAATAGAACGATTAAACAGAATTGCAATTGTCTTTGGGTGATTGTTTGAAAGGGGAAACAGTCACACACAATATTTGGGGGGGGGGAACACATTTTATTGAGAATATTTTAACAAGATCTTCTTTGGAAATAAGGTGAATGGTGTTGGGCGTGGTTCGTACCTGAGATTGCCTTTGTTTGTAGCGTAGCTCATGTGATTGCAGATAGCATCAAACATCTGATGAGTGCTGCTCGTATTGCGAGCATCGAAAACCTGACGCAGCAGTGAAATAAAAAGGGTAATTACTAGAGTAACATTTGATAACTAAGTTCTAAAAGTTGTGTGAGCTCAACATAAAGACGAGGTCACATGAAATACACAAGTATTACACAAGAAGGGAAAACACTTGCATGTTTTTGTGCATATTCAATCTGACATAATTCCTCGATCTTCAAAGTTACGATCAATTTATACCTTCTAATAACAATTTCAATAATAATACACCCTATAGTTTTAACAGAACAGCAGGGACACCAAAGCGATATAAAGCTAAGGTAAGGTAGCTGCATAGCTCAGCTGTTTTATTTCAGGTTGGTAACTAATGCGTAAACGGACGAGCTTGCTGATAGTGGATCAAGGAGTTACCTGCAGTTTTGTCCACTGTATTCTACCGATGCAGCGAGGGGCGTTACGCCAGGCCGTCTTGGCTCCTAAGATGAGTTCAGTCTCAGTCAGGTCGTAAGTTCCTCTCTTATCGATGGACTCAAGAACTGCTTGAAGACGCTTCTTGTGAGCGGGGGTGTCGAATCTGGTGTTTTGCGTTAAAACGAGGAGAAACATTAGTTTGGAGTGAAACTCAATGGCGCCCTCTAACCCTGGAGGTCGCACATTATTTGGAATGCTGAAGATGATTTTTATTATCGTAGGTTTTTTTAATTGTTGAAGTTCATTCATTCATGAAGAGTTCGTAGTTTAATTTTGTATTTGCTGTTTACTTTACTTCTGCGGAGTTATTTTTTTCTTCATATCAATAACGTTACAATAATTGATTATGATAAATTCGATTAACATAGAGTTTTGGGTATATTTTATGAGTAAATTGGGTGACATTTCGTTTGGATTGGATAATGTTTGGATGGGGTTTGGGTGTAGTTTGGAAGCGTTTTGCATGAGGTTTGGGTGTGGATCGCATGAGGTGGTTTTGCTGAATGAGGTTTGGCTGTAGTTTGAATGAGGTTCGAGCGTGGTTTGAATGAGGTTTGGGTGTAATGTGAATGGGGTTCGAGCGTGATTTGGAGGATTATGAGGCTTGGGTGTGGCTTGCAAGAGGTTTGGGTGTGGTTTAGGTGTGGTTTGATGAGCTTTTGGTGTGATTTGAATGACGTTTAGGTGGAGTTTTAATGTGGTTTGGGAGAGGTTTGGATGTAATTTGGGTGTGGTACGGAGAAGGTTTGGGTGTGTTTTGTGTGTGGTTAAGATGAGGATTGGATGTAGTTCAGATGTAGTTTGGATGAGGTGCATGGGTGTGGTCTAGATTAAAGTTGAGTTCGGCGTTGGATTTGAATGTTACATTTTTGAATTTCGGTTTGGCAGTGGTGCGGGCGTGTCATGGGCAAATAGTCTGTCAGTCCTTTTACCTTTTGATGTGCGTATAATATTGGTTGATGAAGTCTGTCGCGTGTTCCTTTATGGTTTCCTTGCTACGACTTCCAGGCTTTCGAGGCGGGAACATGATGGATCCCATGCAACGACTCTCGCTACATTGTAAAGGCTGAAAAGGAAAAAAAAACACGGAAAAGAATATCATGGTGAATCGTTATTCTAAGGGGTTAACTATAGGATAAATGTATTAATCTTTATTTTGATCCTTAAAAATACATTCGTTGTATTGTGATTTGCGCAGCAAGGTTTTAATCTTATAACAATTTTGTTATGAGATATATCAAATATTAGGTTCAATAAATGTCTATCTGGATTAGGAAAATAAGCGTTATAGGTCTAATTTATTTTCTATTACGTGTTTCATTGCCGACGGTCTTTTGGCGTTGAATAAACTGTCGGCGGATAATCACTGCAGAGTTCGATTGATATTTGAAAATATTAGTGTAATTCGCAGCACTCAATCCAAACACGGGTTTTCCCGAAGGGAAAACTTGGAGCAGTTTTCAAGATTTTGGATGTCAGCGCGTATAGTTTTAGATCCGAATGAAAACAGATTGCCGCGTTTTGCCGTTGGGTCCGGATAGAGCACAGTGGAGGGACTAATGCACAGATGATTGCAGTGGACTGGCATTTGTTGCCAAAGGTTTATAGAATTCCAGGGCATTTAAAGAGTCAGGGATTCGGGTTTGAGCAAATAAAATAGCAGCGATTTGGGGTTGCAACAGGCAGTAATAAGGAGGACATACAAAATTGGTTGGCAATAATGTCAATGTCCTTGGCGTTTGTCACAAACAGAGTGATTTAACAGCACGCACGTCAATAGACCACACTTATTTGCGGATATAAAATCTACTCCCAAACGCAAAAATTATCCAAATTAAAGTTATATTTCCAAAAAATTAACCAGTGAATTATTACTCACAAACCTATTTAAGATGTTTTTATCTAATGAGTTTTGATGTCGATGTGGTTATTATATTACAGAACTAATCCCGCCGATTTTGTGGTTGACTTTTGGTGGGGGCAATTCGGCGCCAAAAGAAAGGAAATAGGCCAAGCGTGAGTGAAATTAATAGAAAGTTCGCCAGGGGGTAAAGTTAGGTGCCTGAGATTTGGAGGGGCAAACCACTACGTGTTTGGCCTCAGTTCAATCTCACATAACCCGTGTGTACCACCATCACAGCTCAAAAAACGATGAAAATTACGCGGGAAAACAAAATGTAATTTTCTGGACGCGCGCGTTGTTGCCCATGGCAATAGACAGGTTGTTCGATTCTGATATTATTCAGCAATAACTACTTGGGTAGAAAGATAATTGCTGGTGGGTTTACGGTATATGTGTCAAGCATCGTCGTGATAACATTTTGGATGGGGCATTTTTATCACGAGGGCTGAAAAGAAACCAAAAAAACCTCACAATTTGGTCCAAGAATCCTTGTTCGATGTATTGTTTTCCTCGATTGTGGCCATGAATATTAAAACATGATAAGTGTGTCTTATTTACCAAATCAGTAGCATCGATACCATGACAGTGACTTGATATTTGTTGACGATTAGAGTAGTGAGACTAGTCGGTTTGTGCTTAGCAAACGATTTCAGTGCTAAGCAAAGTTTAATCCAAATTATTTAAATGTATCAAATTCGGGCAATGAGAAAAGGAGGCTGAGGGTTGTATATTCTTCCGTAATTGCTTTTCTTTGGCGAGGCCCGACAATTGTCCGAAATTACAGTCAGTTGCAGGGTCCTACCAACTCGTAGAATGCTATGGTTCAGTGGTTACGGTGTTTGACTCATGCACGATGATGCGTGGGTTCGAACCCTGCCAGGAACATGGTGATTGTGCCCTTGGGCAAGACACTTAACTACAATTGCACCTGTGAGGGTCGAGGACCGAATGTGCGCTGATGATCGGCTGCCGCGCGGTCTCGTGGCCTGATGAACGGAATACTTGTAAAGCGCTTTGAGATGGATGATACGATGGAAAGCACTATATAAGCATTACAATTTGTTTTGTTGCCAAATATACAAAATGTTTGTGTTCTGTATTGCAACCCACAACAGCACTGAGTTTGTTCTTAATTGCGTCAGTAGTTCTCGAACTCTACTTGGGCGAGTGAGCGCGCGCGTCTACACTATTCGGACCAATTGCGAATCTTAACCAGTTGATGGTTGCACACCGCGAAGCCATACGCTCGCGCTTATGTGGCTCTCCTCATTACAGATAAACATCACGCTGAAGAAAGCCGATATACTTCATATTTAGCCAATCTTGGCCCGGAGAGTCAACAGATTCCTTTAATGTCACCAACTCTGGTCGTTAAGCGGCTATAGTTACGTTGTTTATGCGATCTAGGGGCATTAAAAAAGCACGGCGGGCAACGAAAATGTCACAAAATGGCAAGTGGCATTTGGAATCAAAGCTTTAACAGGGAATTTCTTCTCTGAAGAAAAATATATAGATTTGTTGACGCTGTGAATATGACGTCATGGTTTCAAAAATGACTGAAGTGCAGTATTTGGCAAGAAGAGAAATTAACGATTATGGTAATATTGGTCATTTTCGCTGTCTGTTCTGCAATAAAATCTTTCCGTTTTTTTAAAGTTAATTTTCAGACCGCTACGTTCAAGTACATGTAATTTAGAACGCTTTCTTAAACCGAAAAATACGTTCAATGTTTTTGTGTGTGGTTGATAAATTAATTATGTTCCGTTGTTGTTTCATGATGAAAATTTTTATGTGCATTATTTTCTTAACAATATTCCTTTTCCATTCACTAAACTCACACCAAGATTCAATTGAATTATTAGATAAATACCGAGAAATAGGTATCTTTCTAGGATTTCGATTTTTTTTGGTCATGTGTTGATTCGTTTTGAGACACTTCATAAATATGAGTTTATCCATGGAGAACTGGGTCATCTCTTAAATCCATTTTCCTGTTTTTTCTCTCCAGAAAAGGATCATAACCCGGGAGAACACGGCAACTTTGAAAGTCAGTGATCATGAGTTATCATTTTGTTAACATCGTAGTTTAGGCATTGTTCCAAGTTATCGTAAAAACAACATTACAAAAAACCATTTTCATAAAATGTTACCTTTTGTCGTTTTTGTTCAAAGTTCAATTATTTCAAATGTATTCATCAATTATTTGGCACTTATGTCAAATTTGGAAAGCTGAGCGATCAGCAATTTTTTTTTAAACTGCCACTGAATGTTTCAAGTTTTGTACCCTATCTATGTTTACTGATACTGGTGCAAACGAAAAAAGTTTAAAACATTTGAAACTTCAAGTCAGTACTTACGACCAAAGACTTCTGATGCAGCGTATCCGTCGTCTGTTTTCCATCCAGGAGGTTCTTCAGACGCACAAATTTGGGTTTAGACCCTCCGTTGCTTGGTTTGGTACCCGACGACAGATTGTCGTTGAGTTGTGAACCTATCAGATCGGTCTGTATCTCTATCTCCGCTGTGGAGACCTTGATTGGCTTCATAGAATTGTTGTTGACTTCTGTGGAGATGACATCTGATTTGTAGTTGACGGTGGATGGTAGGGTGTCCTTCTGGGGCATCCTGGCTGGGCTGTTTTTGGTAGAGGCAGCCCGTAAGATGCTAGTAGTCGACATGGTTGTGTCTTCGTAGGTATCTTCTTCTGATGTGATCTGTGTGGCCGAATCCTGTCTCCCTATATGTGGCCGGGACTCATTCTCAGTAACTTTGACGTCGAGGTCAACTCCATTCACTGCGTTCGGTGCTGTCTTCTGTGACGAACTCGAAGTGCCTTGCACAACAATGACGCGCTCGGGCCATTGTGTGCCGACTGATTCAAAGGGTCTTTCCGGGGAGCTGTCAGCGTGAACGGCACAATTCTTCGTCGGTAATCGATCCGCCTCGTATTCGTAGTCGACTGAGGGTCGAGGGCTGTCGAAGTTATACAAATCCTCAATACCTAAGCGGAACTGGTATACGTCTCGGGGGAATGTTCCATTCCAGGCCAGGACGTTCTGGAAATCGGGCCCAGTGCCGGCATGCTGGTGTCTGGTAGACGTACAGCAGCATGCAGACGGGTCTCGGTAATTGTAGCTGCGTACAGGGCTACCGGGCAAGCTGTTGCGGGCAGGGGAACGGCTGGATTCACGTCTGGTCCTGCTGGTGCTGCGTATAGGGCTGGCGTAGCGATAGGAACTTCCCTCGGCTGCTCTGCCTCGGGTAGCGGGATAGGTAGACCCTGGCCCGTAGACTGTCCCACCAACTACGTCATAAGTCGGTGGGTTACGCTGCTGCCAACACGGTACAGGATTCCCCACGGGTGGGGGACTATTCCCTGCATCTCTCTGGCTCTTATTCTTCTTACCCCCGGTCCCTCTGTCCCGTGACAAGGAATCGGTATTGATCTCCTCGGTAACGCGTACGACTTTCACGGCGCCGTCAGGGGTTAGAATACTCTCCAGGCGTGTTCTATAGCCATCCGGGCCTCTCATAACGAGAACCGTAGGAGAGTCCATAGGTACGCTCCTAAGAACCTCCAAGGCCGTCGAATAGGGTACATCGGTGAGCTGAACACCATTGACCCCCAGCAGAATATCCCCGACCTGGATCAACCCCGATTGGTCGGCTACGCCCTCGGGTATCAGGTCGGAGATTATGACTGGCGGGTTGGTTTTGCGCTTGCGCACTAAAAACCCCAGTCCGTGTGGCGGTCTTTTGAAAAGGCGAACAGTGAACGTGTTGGGTTCGTTTTCCATGGTTCAACGTCGAAATCGCGGACTTATGCTCTCAAGAACCAAGTGACTGTTTTGGTTGTTGGAAGTTTGTTATGATAACCCTCGCTCAGAAAGGTTAGCTGCGTCGCCCCTCTGATGATCTAGTTTTCTGTTTATGTGTGTTTAATATCACAGGACAGGCACTAGGTTCATCAATCGGACATCATTGGGAAGACACCTTAGCAAAACAGAAGTCAAGAACCATGTCCTAATTGGCCATTCATCAAAGTACAGATGATACCCGGCTTACACCGTGGTCTGTTCAACACCAAGGGTCGATTAGTTTGCCGGTGACCTTTCCAGCGCACGTGGTACCAATTACTCCTCGGTTCACGCGCCTTTATTTCAGGAGGAAGGGGTTAATGAGAGATCACGTGACCTTTGGCTGACGCCGCCGTGTCGGCTGACCGGTGGTGACCAGTAAAGTGACGAGGGTCAGTCGGCGTGAACTCGACTCAAGTCAGATGGAAATGTTGGGACGCTAACCCAGGAAAAGGATTCTCCCTCGAAAATCTGCATAGAAAAAAAGGGGGAGATAATTAAAAAAAAATTATTGTAACGTAAAGTTTTCTACTTTGAACAATTATTCAGAACCACACATCTTCTCAAAAGAGATTCGTCCACATGGCGTTACCGAAAGCCATCACTAGTTTACACTACCGTCATGCAAAGTTTCAAATCTTATTAACTAAATGTTCATGTTTTAGATTACAGTCATCATCAGTATTGTTTTCTCAGTTTGATTCTTCTTCAAAATGAACAATTACTGATAATTCAACCTTGTTTAAAACAATGTGCAACTTCAAAGAGGTAGCAGCACCAATGTCATACAGAAAGCATTCAATTTACTTAAATTTAAAAAAGGTAATGTTAATCCAACAAAGCTTTGCCCTGAAACATGCAAGACGAGTTATGCAACATTGACGCTAGAAAAGCTTGAAGAACTTCCAATTCAATTTCATGAATAGACGTTTAAGTCTGATGTTAAGTATTAATTATTTAGGTAGGCTAACACTTTGCTTAATACATTGTATTTAAAAAGAGATCCCATGTACTATATAAGCGTCACAGGCGATTTGCTTTTACACAAAGTCCAGAAAATGTTAGTTTTGATTCGGTCGAAGAAACAGTGAACAGAAAGTAAGAAAACAGTCGCAACCTATGGAACCTTCCCAATGCAGTAACAAGCGCATGCGATACGAAAACTCAGATATTATTTGCAATACAGTTAGCTGGGGAGAAGTGGAATAAACGGACTAAAACTATTTGACTTTTGATGACAAGATGATGGGCATGACTGATGTCGTACGAGCTTGGGGAAACTTTTACTGCCTTGAGCCTCAGGACTGGGAAGATTGGAGATTTATCTAAAGTAAAAGACTAATGGAATACAGAAAGATGATGACGCCCTAATGAGTCATAAAGATAATGCGAAACTATGCTCTCATGACTAACAATTTTCTTGAAAGGCTCATGCCATTACTCCTTTTATACAAGACGAAAAGTGGACAGGCAAGGATTGATGCAAGAAATCGAAAGCATCATTGCGGACGATAATCGGACGATAGCCGTCGATAGTCGGTTGGGCTTTAAATGTTATATTTACAAATGGTCATCGTTTCAATTACGCCACAAACTGCACTCTTAAAGGTCCCGGGTCAAATTCGACCCTGAATCTGCGTCAGATTTGATTTGACACTCTTCTGAGTCAAAATGACATTTTCCTCCGAGTAAAAAATGCCACTTTTCTTGGACTAAAAGGCAATTTGTTTTGTCAAAATAACACTCCGTCGGGTCAAATAACCAGGACAAGTGACCCATAGAAGTATCATTTTGACCCAGAAGGGTGTAAATCAACCTTACCCGGATTGGGTCCGATCTGACCCGGGATCTAAATGTTACACCTTCTGCAATGCGGTGTTAAATAAACACCAACAAGTATCTACATTGCTATGAAGCAGAAACTCGCAGACAACGGATCAAATGCAGTGTTCGCATATTGGCTTGTAGTCTGGTTTTCCTAAGCAAATATACAGGGCGAGTAAAACAAAACAAAACCCAAATGTCGGGACCATTGTTTAAGCGAAGTGCTGCATGTAACACTTTTAAAATCTGTGATATGAAAGCCCGATTCATAAGCTTTCTTTTAGTACAAGGATCATTCAAATCACTCATGTAATTTTCAAGTTACGGAATTTTAAATTACTGATAACGGACTGACTGACTGACTCACTGACTGTTACTTGTGACCTAATTAGACTGGTTTTTGGCTGGTGAAGAGAGCCGGGCGGTGCTGTTGTATGGGATAACACCATAACGGCTAAATCTGGCCGATTGTAAACCATTGTAGGTAGGAATAATCTTCAAGTAAATAGCCATTCTGAATCAGTTGACATGTGTTGTGCGCGTCCAGGACCAGCTTAATTAGACTTGCCTTGTCTTATTAAATCGTTTCAATAAGCGTCGCTAACTCTAGCTCCACGAGAGAGTGTTTTTCTCCTTTTTTTCGTGGAATCAACCCTTTCCAACATCATAGATGAAGATCAAAAGACTGTCGTGTAATAAGTGACTTGATGTTTGCCCTACTGTCTGGCTGAACTAAATGATCGAGTACTGTGAAAACTTTGCCTGAGGCTAAAATGTGTTGATGCAGTTTAATTCGCGTAACCATCCAGAGAATGTCACAATCAATACTTTACTATTATGGAATCACTCGGATGAAAAGACGTAAGCAGTGTGTGGGGTCCATTGATCTCCATATATGGAGATCAATGGTAGGGTCATACTGAAACAATTATTCATATATGCAAATTAGGATGTGCGTCATTCATATCGTTGGATACATGAATAATTGTTGGATTAGGGCCGCCAAACTATCCGTGCAGTATATATCTTGACACAATATATTTAAGATCGCTTGTGTGATTAGACTAACCTCCTTGCTTCGTTTCAGAAGTATCCGTGAAATCGGGCCTTAAATATACAAGTCAGTGTGTTTTCATAAGAGCACATTACTGTTGTGAATGTCGTCTCTTGTGATCATTGAGGATAATGTATCGCAGTGGTAGGCTCCCACCATGCTTCATAAAACAATTTGCCATGTCCCATTACATTTAATTATAATTTAACTGAAGATAAAATATGATGAATTGAAACGTTACTACTCAAGCACATGTATACCCACCCACACGTACGTAACGTGAAGTAGAAATCACTATCGTGAACATTAAAACTTAATTTCGACGATAATTGAAATCTTGGAGAGTGTTAGGTGAGGTGTCTCATAACCGTCACACATCCTTGAAAGGTGTTACGTATGAAGCGTGGCCTCCAAGTCCCAACATGACAACTAAACCACAGGACGGTCTATCCTGATTTCTCCAGCTTAACCAACTTTTTTTCCCTTCAAATACTGGGCCCAATTTCACAGCTCCGCTAACCACAGAATTCTGCGCTTACGATCACCATTCCGTGCTAACACTGCTAGCAGAAAAATCCTGTGCTAACCATAAAAGCACAGAATCCTTAGTTTCGGGATGTAAGAATGCGCATAAGCAAAAATTCCTTACAAATTCGTGAAATACGCTTACCGTGTAAGCATGGAATGCTCTGCTATACAGTAAGCAGGATTTTTTCGCTAACGGAAAGCAGATTTAGGCACAGATATACATCAGTCAGTTTATTGCTAAAATAATCAACACGTTAGTGTAAATACAAGTTTAGTAAATACAACTTGGACCTGTCCTAAAATGTTCACAACATGAGTTGGCAGGCAAGCGTCCTTACAAAACACACGTCCAAATTTAAACAGCCTACCACTTTATATCGTATTTGTAAATGCTGTCAACACTTATCAACTATCGAAACTTTCTGTCCAGGATCACTATGGTCCAATGATTGTAGGAAATGTCCAAATACGCCCCCTACTCCCTCAGGGTCACGCCCACGCTTATGCACCCTTCATGTCAATGAGATGGACGAAGTGTGGGAGCCTAAGCGTTGATTTGAAACCTCAGTTTTATACCAGGTTCGGCTCTACTAAATGGTTAATGACTTGTATGTGGGACTTAGCTACGAAATGGTCTGCCCCAAGAATATGAAGCCAGGTATTTAGAGTACTGCCATTCGGTTTGGGCATTCGATTCTGAGATGAAGTTGAACCGAAACGAAACCGAGATTTCGTAAACGAAAACTAGCAATTCTGAAGTATTGGGCTCTGCTTTTTCAATTGAACCTCCGACAGGTCTTGCGGCGCGGAGAGAAGACTTTCCTCCAAAGACCACCTAGCCGTCTTCACTAAATCGTAGTCTTAATCCCCAGCCGTCTGTTCCGCCCTCGGCGGTTATGAGCCCCATGTAGACACTGCGCAGCCATTGGCATTAAGCAGTCACTTTTCACCGACTTGTTCGCGAATTATCTTCTAGTCTAGACATCACTGAGAGATGTAAACGGCTGGTTCGCACAATATGCCCCTCGGATTACACAAAAGTCTAGATTGTTTAAACATGTGGCTCTGCCATTTTAGTATGCGGTGTTTGAAGTTTTAGTATGCGGTGTTTGAAGTAAAATTGTTCACCGAATGCCCGAAACCATTCTTTTCCCTCTGGTTCATTAACCAATTTCCAATCTGATTTTAAAGTTGTTTATACTTAAGATCCAATCCGTTAGAGGAGTCAAATGGCAAAGACCGTTTGAACGAATCCGCATTTTGATCTAGGATTAATCCCGTCGATTCCCGTGATTTCTCTAGAGATTTCAGTCATTTTGAAGTGCCTCGGAGCGGTCGAAAATTTCATATTGAAATTCAGAATTACTGAATTAATATTTGCAACCTCCTGGGACCTAAGCCGTCAGCTGTGATTTCATTTCAAAGGCTAGGATTTCTAGAAATATAGCCCTGGGAATTTGGCCAATCCATCTGCCACGCGAAATTTTTAAACAAATCAACAAAACGTACAAACGAAAAATCGACAGTTTATTTAACTGACATTTTCCCGAAAACCGAGCGGGATATACCCATGAAACATCCATTGAAAACAGTTCCGCACCCACCAAAAAAAAAAAAAAAAAAAGTAGAAATCAAATCTTAATTCGCCCGAGGTGATGGGCCTACAGTACATTTCCTGGCAAATTGAGACGCGAAGATCACTTTACTTTTGATTTCCAAGACTCTAATATTAATGTTTCAATTTTTTGTTAACCTTTTGTCTAAGGAAACTAAGGGTGCTGGATTTTGACCGCAAAACTTCTTAATCACAATAGGTGATTGTTTTGTCGACCTCTCAACTACAGGCTACCCCACCTATGGAAACAAGAAAAGGTCAGTGCGCCTTGAGAAGAAATCTTTGTCGCATGCAGGCAGCTTGAAGCTAAGAAAACTCCTCGATCATTGAAGAGATGAAACAAGATAAGACATCGTAAGCCAAGGGTCCCATTCAACAACCTGCCTTGAATATCATGCGTGGGCCGCACCCTTTCAATGTTGTGGTTTTGGCTTGTGCTTCGGATCAACT